ATACATTTGTGTAATTTCTCAAGTATTGATATAGAAGCCAAGTATTAGCCCATCATATCTTACTTAGCATGCAGAAAATACAGTATGTTTGTTTGAACCTATAGCACAGAATTCAAGTCTTCTAATGGCAATCTGCCCTGTGGAGGTTCAAATGTGTTTGTGACTTTAAGTATCACTATCCCACAATACTGTGAAATTTGTGAAATTTACGTAATCACTTAAACTCAATAAAAAATTATTAAAAAAATTCAAGTCTTGGGGGCTGGGAAGGTGGCTCAGTGGTAGAGTGCTTGCCTTGCATGCATGAGGCCCTGGGTTCGATTCCTCAGCACCACATAAACAGAAAAAAGCTGGAAGTGGTGCTGTGGCTCAAGTGGTAGGGCACTAGCCTTGAGCTGAAGAGCTGAGGGACAGAGCCCAGGCCGAGTTCAGGACCATGACCGACAAAAAAAAAATAAATAAATTCAAGTCTTCACTGCAAATAAGTTTTTTCTATATTATTGTATTATTAAAACTCATGTCTGTAAACCTAGCTACTCAGGTGGCTGAAATCTGAGGATGGTAGTTTGAAGCCAGCCCAGGCAGCAAAGTGTAAAACTCTTATCTCCAATTAACCATCAAAAACCCCAGAAATGGAGCTGTGGATCAAGTGATAAGGAGCTAGACCTTGAACAAAAAAATCTCAGGGACAGAACCCAGGCCTGAGTTTAAGCCACAGGATCAGTATAAAAAACAACAACAAATAAACAACAACAACAACAACAAACTTTCCTAAAAAGTAATGTTACATTGGGCACTAGTGGCTCATACCTGCAATCCTAGCAACTCAGGAGGCTGAGATCTGAGGATCATGGTTCAAAGCCAGCCGAGGCAGCAAAGCCCATGAGACTCTTATCTTTAATAAACCATCAGAAAACTGGAAGTGGTGCTGTGATTCAAGTGATAGAGCTCTAGCCTTGAGCTGAAGAGCTCAGGGACAGTGCCCAGGCCCAGAGTTCAAGCCCCACACTGACAAAAAAAAAAAAAAAAAAAAAGTAATGTTACTTAAGAAATGATGCTCCATTTGAATATGTGTGTAGAGTTATTAGCAATTAGTTAGGCTCAGAAAGGAGTTAAAATAAAGCAGTCCCTGATGAACTTTCTAGCATTAGAGAACTCCACTGAAAAAGGAATTCCTCAGTCAAAGCCACTGTGAGACTGGCTGTATACACAGCATGAAAAACTCCTAAACTAATTCAGCAGATATTGTCACTAGATGGGGAAGCTACACTGAGACCTTTTTCTTCCAAATTTGTTGGTAGCACATACCATAATTAAAATGTAATGAATTTATATGAATTTTTTAAACCAACTTTCTATTGCATTGTACTCTGGAACAAACTATTTTTGAATGGCAGGCCCACCTTTATTTAAGAGTTAATTTAAATCCCAACAACTTTTTTCTTTCTCAAGTAACAAAACTCAGATATGAAAATGACCTCTCAGGAATCTTTCTCAAAGTCTTCATCTTCAGTAGTTTAATTTTGTTTCTTCCTCAAATTCTAAAAGAACAAAGAATTAAAAGCCTCAAGATATAAGAGTAAAACCTTCCATTTATTGAAATACAAACTTTTTCCCTGAGGTTTTTATTTGGCTTAAATGTCTATTCTAAAAATATGATACCATTTGTAAGGTTTTATACTATTATACTCTAAAATGGAGAGGGTTAAATGAGAATAGAGGAGGTGAACTTGTTCAAAGTATACTATATCCACATATGAAAGAAAATAGCACAAAAGAAACCCCCTTGTACTATTAATGTATAATAATAAAAATACAACGTTTTCTAAATTTGGCTACTTTTCTTTGGTCTTTCTAGAAGTTGTTTCTTAAGATCTCACTATGCAGGTTGGCCTTAAACTTGAGACCCTTCTGCTTATGCCTCCAAATGCTGAGATGGCAGGCCTGTACTACCATAGCTAAATATTTTTTTTTTTAATTACTTCTCAAGGCTGGGAATGTGGCTCAAGTACAAGGTCCCGAGTTCAAACTCAGTGCTGTCTGTCATCATCTATAAACCCTGCAGCCCCTTCCCCCTAATTCTGGGGGATCAAATCCAGGATCTTGAATATTTCAGTAAGTGCTCTACTATTGAATAACATTCCCAGTCCTAAAATGTTTTACCTTGTTTTTCTTCAGTACTGATGCTTAAGCACAGGGCCTCCCATTTGCTAGGTAGGCACTCTACCATTTGAGCCACAGCTGTAGCCCCTAAAGTTCAATCTTAACTTAGTACTCTATTAAAAACCTTACAACAATGGAATTATAAGGCCCAAAGGCTCAGGAGGCAGGACAGGTATTTGAGGAAACAAAAGGAAAAAACCCATCTAGTTTCAAGAGATACTGTTGCTTTAAACTTTATTCCAGCCAGGTACTCCTTTGGTCTAGCACTGAAAAAGTACAAATTACACACATCCTCACACTTTCAAAATATGCCAAAGAATTATTTATTAACACAGGACTTACAGATCACAAAAGAGAATAGTACAGAGAGCTGGAAAAGGAAGTCATCAGAATAAGCATGCAGATCAGTATTTGCAGAGGGATATACTAAAGCAAGTTCAAAAAGGCACATTCACACAGAAAATGTCTAAATTGAAAAAAGACATCAGAAAGTGGCCAAATTAAAAAAAAAGGTGCTGATTAAAATACAAAGAGTTTTAATATCAAAGAAGAGCTGCTTTACAGGTAGGTAGCTACAGAAGTCTTGCTGACCTTTTGTGAAAGCCACAAATAAGAGTAAGCTCTTGCTGTCAACAAAACCAAATGATCTTAATAACTAAACATAAAGATGTAGCAGTGCCAGAGATTAAATTTAGTCGGGGGAGAAAAGCAGACTCATTGAAATTATAAGCAGCAAGGGCTCAAAAGTTTAAATGCAATAATATGCAGAGAAATCAGGCAATGTTATTGGTAATATCTACCTTCTATACAAAGAATTATAGCAAGAGTTTAAGAGAGACAGTATCCCCTTCAGAGTTAAGTTAGGGTTTCTAAACAGGAAAAGGTCCACAGATACTATCTACTAGGTTTTACTTGCTTCACCAGTCCACTTCTTATTTCTGCAACAAGATGTATATTTAACCCTTAAACTCACAGAGCAAGAGATACTGTGGTAAACAGGAGGAGAAAGTAAAACCATATGGTACTGAAGCATTGCCTGCCACTTGCCCTCTCTAATGCACTGATAGAGTAGTTCAGCTGAACAACAGCACAGGTCAAGCCCCTTGGTCAGTCATCAAACCCTTTTAACAACCGCTCTAAGGGGATACTGCTCCTTTCCAACAGGAGGGTTACAGATCAACCGGAGGCAACAATCTTGCTTTTAAAAGCATTGTCACTCTGAGAGAGTTGGCTTGAACAGGGCAGGTTTCATTCTTGGAATGTTCCAAATGTACATAAAGAACATGAGCACAGATTATTTTAACAGGTCCATCAGAAGAGCTCAGTTAAAAAACCAATCTCCACTCCCCAAATAAAATAGGGGGAAAAGACACTCCAAAACTAGACTAGACCTATTTCATAAAGACATCTAACTTGGCACTGTGAAAGAATATAGATTCATTTTCAGAAAAATAGCTTCTAATGAAAACTTCAGAGTTTAAAAGGCTAGTATACCTGTTATGAGATTTTTAAATAAAAATCAAATACTATTGTTCAGAAGATAGAGCACTTTGCAACCAATTGCTATGGCTCAGCAGCTCGCGCACAAGAAGAAAAAAATCACTGTCTCAAACAACATTAAATAAATAAATAAATAAATAAATAGTGAAGGGCACAGGAGCTCTTCAGACAGTCCATGGCACTCAGAAAACACCTCAGCAAGTTGCAATATGATACATAACATCTTTGCTAATTTGCTCCTAATTAAACACACAGATTAAGAAAACCTTCAACATACCAATAACTGAAGAATGGACATCATTTTGGTTTCTGACTTACCAATTTAATGTATGCAAAATCTACAGTACTTTACATTTTCTGCCTGGACCTGTAATCTTGGAAGTGTGTAATGTATCCCTCTCAGGTTAAAAAAAATCATAAAACTCTTCAAATGAATAATACATTTCTAGAATAATACTGTAACACTGAGACCATTTTCATCATTAAAGGCCACAAAATAGGTTTATCTTTCTATATACATATCAAAAAACAAACAAAAACTAGAACACTAGAAATCTAGCTTTTGAGACAGAAAGATGGATTAGAGAATAAAATGCTACATGTAAATCCACACTGAATTTAAAGAGGGATTCCTAAAAAGATGCTTTCAAACATTTTATCAGAAAGTTAGTGGTTACCCTATTCTAGCATCTACAGATTTATTATAACCTAATACTTGCAATAAGAGTTCACACTCAAAACAGCACCTGGATTCCACTAACAACACAGGCCCCTCTCCTTGCCATGGGACATCTGTAAATAAGTGCTTTCCCTTTCCTCCTCAAGGGATGTAACAAGCTGCAATACAACTGGTTTGAAGCTTTTACTTCCTTGGCCTTATAAAAGTGGGTTCTTTAAACTAAACTGGCTACTATGTGGGCAGCAAGAGAAGACAATACCCAAGAGAAGACAATAGGAGAGGGAAACATTGATTTCACTCACCAAAATGAACAAACACTGCTGACACTCATAAGTCCTTATAAAATGTCTGGCAACATGGGAGTTCATTAAGCAGTGGGTTCTTATGTGACTCTGACACCAAAAATTAGAATTGGATTTCAAAAATAAAAACATTTTGGTTATCCAATCTAAGTTTCAGAGTAGTCACAGTGTCCATATGCCCAAGTACCAATAGATTCAAATTTAACACTGCTTCAAGGAGACTGGAAACAGTGAGGTTAATTATTAGAAATTCATAAAGGTAAAGGACCAGCTCACCAGTCTTTTGTAAATCAACACGCACAGACATGTTTGAAATCTCCATCACCATTACCAGAGCAATCTCACCAATTCCTCACCTGCAGCAGGAGGGTGCTGGCCACTAACTGTTGGCAAATCCAAAGAGCTATCAGACATGACATGTTTAAGATCTCCTCCCACATCAGCCAATTTCATGTCAAACTGAACAGAAAGTGCATCTTCAGAGTCCTCCTTGCCGACACTGCTACCACCAATGGAAGGGAGATCCAGGGACTTCACCGAAGCAGAGTCTTCTTTGGCGTGTCTGAAAGCCACTGCTTTCTCTCCCAAGGATTTGTCAGAGTTCATGGATGAAAATTTACTGGAGTGGAAGTCAGCAAAATCATCTTCACTTTTTCCAGAAGGAGTATTATCTTTCAACTCTTCTACACCTAGTCCAGCTCCTTCAAGGGAAAGTTGCTTGAATACATCATACTTGGTAGATGCTGCAGTTGAGTTCTGTGCACTCTTTGCTGTGCTGCCTGAGTTGCTGGTGAGAGGCACAGGACTAGCTTCGTCCCTAAGGACATCATATTTGTCATCTGCCTTTTGCTCAGATGAAATGGAGTTATTACTGAAAGCCATAAAATCTGCAAAGTCATCCTGCTCCCCAACAGATGCTGGACTTGAATATTCCCCAAAAAGGTTGAATTCTCCAAAATCATCAGCCAAATTAGAAGTTTTAGTGGATACCAGTGTTGTTGTAGTTGTGGCAGAAACCACTGGCTGAGGTCGTGCAGAAGCTAATTTGGATGTGCTAAATGCAGCCGAAAAAGGCAATGCTTTCTCACTGCTACAATTAACAGAGGAAAACATATCCAGGTCTGCAAGGTTCAGAGGACTTTTCACTTGTGTTTGTTGTTTCAGTTGTGTAGTTCCTGAGGGGAAAGATGCTGGAAAAGTTGTGTCTTTTGTCGGCGGCTCTAGTGGTGAAATACTATCGGCTGTCTTAAAATCTGTGAAACCATCATCGATTCCTGTAGACCTGAATTCTGCAAAGCTGTCTCCTGAAGGATAAAAACATAAAAGCCAAATAAGAACGTTAAAACTGAAAACTATATAATGCACAGCACATTAACAGGAGTGTAACTGAACAGGCTTCATTGGCTTGACATAGTCAATTTAAGTCCTATGGAACACATGTGAATCCACATTGACAGTGACATGGAAAAAGTCACTGTTTTGGAGACTTTCATCCTCTGGCCAGACAGTCAACCATACAATAAAATAGAAATAAGTACTACAGGTTCCTGACATGCATTGAAAAGAGTAACCATTCAAAGATTAAAGCATGTTACATGGAGGGGGTCAGGGAAGAGGAGGGAGAGTGACAGGATGAGTCTGTTCAAGGGGACATGGTATGTACATCTGGAAATGTCAATATGAAACCCCCTTGCACAATGAACTGATGCTAATAAAATATGAGGGAGAAAAAGTGTGTGTGTGTGGGGGGGGGCGGGATGTTGCCAGTCTTGGGGTTTGAACTCAGGGCCTGGGCACTGTCCCTGCACTTCTTTTGCTCAAGGCTAGCACTCTACCACTTGAGCTACAGCACCACTTCTGTCTTTTTCTGTTTATGTGGTATTAAGGAATCGAACCCAGAGCTTCATGCATGCTAGGCAAGCACTCTACCACTAAACGACATTCCCAGCCAAACTTTTTTTTTTGGTGATGGTGGGCTTGAACTCTGGGCCCTCTCCTTGAGCTCTTTAGCACAAGGCAAGAGCTCTACCACTTGAGCCACAGCACCATTTCCAGTTTTCTGGTGGTTAATTGGAGATGAGTCTCAGAAGCTGGGTGCCAGTGGCTCATGCCTGTAATCCTAGCTACCAAGGAGGCTGAGATCTGAGGATTGTGGTTGAAAGCCAGCCTGGGCAAGAAAGTCCATGAGACTCTTATCTCCAATAAACCACTCAGAAAACTGGAAGTGGTACAGTGGCTCAAGTGGTAAAGCACTAGCCTTGAGCTGAAGAGCTGAGAGACAGTGTTCAGGCCCAGCATTCAAGCCCATGAGCCTCAAAACAAATCAAAACAAAACAACCGTGATCCTCAGATTTCAGCCTCCTTAGTAGCTAGATTACAGGTGTGAGCCATTGGTGCCCGGCCAAACATTAAATTTTTAATCAGCGGTACCAATGAAGTATTACAAGAAGTCCTGAACCTAATATTCAGCATATATAGTACATTTTGATTAACTAAGCACTTTAAGAACTATACTAGGCATGGTAGTATATACTTGTAATCACAGGAGTTTTGAAGCTGAATCATGAAGACCATGAATTCGAGACCAGCCTGGTTTACATAGCAAGACCCTGTCTTAAAAAAAAAAAATCAGAAATGAGGGCTGTTACTCAGTAATATACTCAAGACATCAAATATACAAGGCCCTCTGTTCCATGCCCAGCACCTAAGTAAATAAATAATCTATGCAGGGCTGGGAAGGTGGCTCAGTGGTAGAGTGCTTGCCTTGCATGCATGAAGCCCTGGGTTCGATTCCTCAGCACCACATAAGCAGAAAAAGCAGAAGTGGTGCTGTGGCTCAAGTACTAGAGCACTTGCCTTGAGCTGAAGAGCTTAGGGACAGCACCCAGGCTCAGAGTTCAGGCCCCACGACTGACAAAAAAACAAAACAAAAAACAAAACAATAAATAATCTATGTATACTTTCTTAAGTATATGGAGGCATGAACTTAAAAGAAATTATTATGTTTTCACCAGACAGGGTCTATGTAGCCTTAGGCTGCTTTTGAATTCAGCCTTCTGAGTGCTGGGATTATATATGCATCTGCCACCATGCCTCACAAGGTGAAAGTTTGAGAAAAGGCAGTTACTTAGTGGTAAAACATTCTACATAGGGCACAACTTAAAACAAGTCCTCTCCATACTGTCTAACAAACTGAAACTCACCCCTCAAAAAATATATGAGCATGTGGGCCTTTCTCAAAATCAGCTGCCTCCCTGTCCTAATGAGCACTATTTCTTAAAAATCTGTTTAATTACTAAATAGTACTCCTTACAGATATGGTATTAGGATGCAGATGATTTTGGTTTTCTAAGTGCCTGACGGTCTAACCTTAAAAGGTTAGAAAACCAAGGTAGTGAAAACCAGAGGTAAGTCAAATATAAATACAGTTACTTATTCTAGTTAATATCACTTGTTATTTAAAAACATAACTACTATATTGGCACTAGTAGCTCATGCTACTCAAAAGACTCAGATCTAATGATAAAAGTTCAGAGGCAGCCCAGGCAGAAAAGACTGAGAGACTACATTTCTAACATAATCAGTAAAAGAAAAGCTGGACTGAAGATGTGGTTCAAGTGGTAGAGCACCAAGAAGCAAAATAAGCTGAGAGTACAAAGCTCTGAGCTCATACTCTGGTACTATCCTAAAACCAACTAACCAAAATAAGACATGACTGCTATTTCTGGAGATTTATAAATGAAAATACAAACTTTAACTTCCTCACCCATTTTTAAGATTCTATTTCCTCCTAAAATTAGATAAACATATGAACCTAAAATTATATATAGAAACCAAAACTCAAAAATTTTAAATTGACATATAATTTAGGCTTAAAAAGTTGAGCTTGCAACACAGTTTATACTTTAACATATTGGGTGGAAAAGCATTGGAAATGCTTTTTCTCCTAATTAAGATCAGGATTTTATCTCCTAATTTAATATTGAACCCATCTGCTAGTAAAATTCATCAACACAAATCAATCTAATACTATTAAAGAAATTTATAAGAAAAACAACATTCAGATTTCCTATAATTGATGTCTTCAAGACATACTACTAATAAAATTGCAGTCAATTTCACAAAATGACAAGAGATACAAATGTAAAATGTGTAAAAGCAATGCTAAAATTTTAGAGAAGTATATCATGAATTGTATTTGTTTCTTCTGTAAGCCAATTTATCAAAGTCTTTTTTTTTTTGGCCAGTCCTGGAGTTTGAACTCAGGGCGTGGGCGCTGTCCCTGAGCTTCCTTGTGTTCAAGGCTAGTGCTCTACCACTTGAGTCACAGTGCCACTTCTGGTTTTTTCTGAGTAGTTTATTGGAGATAAGAGTCTCATGGACTTTCCTGCCTGGGTTGGCTTCGAACCATAATCTTCAGATCTCAGCTAGCCGAGTAGCTAGGATTACAGGTATGAGCCATCAGCACTCAGCTCAGCCTAAACTTTTGATGCATTGCTTTGAAATATCTGTGAAATTGACAAATTTTGCTTTATTTTTAAAAAGGAACTCATCACAGCAAACTAAACTTACTGATGAATTGTAAAGTGTTCCATCAGAAACGTAAACTGGGTGAAAGAGTTGGAAGAAAATAAAATGGGTGGGTTTATGACTTCAAAAACAAAGGGAATATTTTGGCAAATAAGTTAAATTCAGTCATTGGAAGTTTGCATATCAGAAGGCATATTGAACCTTTTACTTCATAGGTTAACATGTAAATTCTTATGTTTCTTTCTTGATTTGTCACTTTCCCCGCCCTGGTTACGGGGTTTGAACTCAGGGCCTGGGCACTGTCTCTGAGCCTCTTTGTGCTCAAGATTAGTGCTCTACTATATGAGCCACAGCACCACTTTTGGGTTTGAGTGATTAATTGGAGATAAGAGTCTCAAGTCTGCCCGGGCTGTCTTTAAACAGTGATCCTCAAATCTCAGCCTCCTGAGGAGCTAGGATTATAGGATGAGCCTCAGGTACCTGGCATTGTCACTTTTTTAGCCCTACAAACAACAAAAAGATCTCGAATACTTTTTTTTTTAAATTAAAGCTTCAATAAGAAGTGACCCTTCTTCTTATTTTCCATTCTTACTATGTAGCCCAGGCTACATCGAATTCATGTTCCTCCTGCTTCATCTTCAAACCACTTCAGTGCTAGGTTTACAGGTATACTTCACCAAGTCTGGCTTATGTCAATGGATTTTTAAGATACACTGTAGTTATAAAAAATACAGCATATTATTTAGGAGAATAAAACATTTTCCCTTAAAATGAACAAGTTAGTAACTCGTCTTAGAAGGCTTTAGGATTAAAGTCAGAAAGGAATGAAAGTAAGCAAACAAAAAGGGCAAAAAACCAAGACTTCATTCAGGACTGAAAGCAGCAGAACTAAGGCACTGCTTATATTCTGTTCTTTATTGTCCTTTATAGGAGTAATATATATGGCATGATCATTAATACTGTATCACACAAAGAACCTCAATATTAAACCAGGCTCTTGCCAGGTGCAGTGGCTGATGCCTGTAATATCAGCTACTCATGAGCTAGAGATTGGAGGATCAAAGGTTAGCCTGAGAAAAAATTTCAAAAGATTTTATATAGCTGACCACCAGAGGTCCATGACTATATATAATTCTAGGTACTTAGGAGGCTAAAATCTGGTGGATCTTAGTTAGAAGGCCAGTCTGGGAAGAAAAGTTCACCAGACTCCATCTCTAAAATTACCAGCAAGAAAATAGTGCTGGAGGCATGGTTCAAGTAGCAGAGTACTGGCTTAGCAAGTATGAGCAACCCAGAGTTGTAGTACTGCAAGAAAAAAAAGAAAGAAAAAGAGACAGAGACACAGACAGAGAGAGACAGAGTAAGAGAAAGAAAAAGAACAGAAGAGAAAAAGAAAGAAAGGAAAGAAAGTAAGGAAAGAAAGAAAAAGAAAGGGGGAGAGAGGGAGGGAGGGAGGAAGGAAGGAGGCAACCAATAATTGAGTGTAATGGTATGCACTTGTCATCTCAGCTACTTGGGGAAGGAGAAGGATGGTGGTCCAGGCCAGCCCAGGCATAAATGTGAGACCCTATCCTAAAATCATATGAAGTAAAAAGGAGTAGGAATATGGCTCAAATGGTAGAGATCATGCCTAAAAAGCAAAAGACTCTGAGTTCAATTCCTCAACATTACCAAAAAGCACAAACAAAAATCCTGGTTTGCTGGGTGTTGGTGGCTCACACCTGTAATCCTCACTACTCAGGAGGCTGAGATCTGAGAAGTGTGGTTCAAAGGCAGCGGGAGCAGGAAAGTTCATGGGAGTCTTATCTCCAATTTACCACCAGAAAACTGGAAGTGGTGCTGTGGCTCAAAGTGGTAAAGTACTAGCCTTGAGCAAAAGAGCTCAGGGACAGCACCCAGGTCCTGAGTTCAAGGCCCCTTCCCCCCAAAAAAAATGTACTCTGGCTTTTTATTCCAAACATGCCATAACCCTAAATACTCAGTAATTTGACGAATGGAGGATTCTAATTTAAAGTCAGCCTGGGAAGAAAAGTAAAGAGACTGTATCTCTATTTAACCAGCAAAAAAGCTGGGCTGGAAGTATGGCTCAAGTAGAGAGCATCACTTGAGCAAGCAAGTTCAGCAAATGGGAGTTCAAACTTAGGTAATGAAAAATTCCTCTAATGGTTCAAGTTTGTATTCCTAAGAGGGGCACTGGGTAAGAAACAGCTGTTATGTCCTAAAAACTTATATGAAGCCCAAGAAGTATCTATGGAATGTAAAAAAAGTAAGGAATTGAATATTGTAGTTTTCCCTTTTTTAGAGCTACTTAAGCAATATGGTATCATCATCTCCTGCACCCCAAATAGGAGAGTAGTACTGTTTTCAGGAGGAAAGCCAGCCTGGGCAGATAAATCCAAGAGACTCTTAACTCCAGTGAACCAGCAAAAAGCTGGATATAAAGGTGTGGCTCAAAGGGTAGACCACTAGCTTTGATTGGGGGAAAAAGGTTAAGATATCACACAAGGGCCTGAGTTCAAGCCCAAGTATCAGCAAAATAAAGAAATATATAAATAAATTTCATTGAATTCAGGGCCTACTGCTTGTTAGGCAAGCATTCTACTGCTTGTTAGGCAACCATTCTACTGCAGTCACAAAGCATTTTTAATCATTATATTCTAGCATGTCTTTTAAATGATGAACAAGAAACCAAAAATAAAAAACAAAATGGGACTGGAGGAATGGTTAACATAGTAGAGTGCTTGCCTGGCAAGTGCAAAGCCTTGAGTTCAAACCTCAGTAACACCAAGTGTTATTATTTTTTATTATTATTACTACTATTAGTAGTAATGCTGCCAGATGCCACAGGAGTAACAGAAATTTTTTTTAGCTTTAAAAAGATAGGCTTTTAATAACTGCTCTTTATCACCAGGTTAAGTCATTCAGTTATGAAGTAATTAGAAATTACAGAAATTTTTTTTAAGATGTGTCTTTTCTACAGTCCATAGTTTAGTTCACTGATTTATTGTCAATGTTTCTTACTGAGCATTACCATAAACAATGTCAGTCATAGCTGTCCACCAATACAAGATTCTAAGTTGGATTGTGGATTTCCAGTAAAAGGACATGTACTATCTTCTGAGGAGACTGCACTGATTTGAGATTTGTCCTAAATTTGAGGACATGATTTCTAATAACTGAGCTACGTATGCCTACTATTACAATAGTTAGTGTTTATTAAACATAATAGAAACCAATTAGGGTTTTCTGATTTAAAGTATTTGCAGTTTAAATGTCTATTAAAAATATCATTATTTTACCTATTCAGTTTATTTTTCCTCTAAACAAAACATACATATAATAAGTAATGCTCAGAAGTGTCTTTGAATGAACTGTCATCAATTCCCTTTAGGACTCAGATGTAATTCAGTAGTAGAAAGCTGGCTTGCTATGTACAAGGCTTGGGTACCATCCTGAGCACCCTCAATTAAAAAAAAAAAAGAATAAAAAACTTACCTACAGATTTACTCTCTGTTGTCTGTTCAAGTTCTCTGAAAGCACTATACTTATCACCAGGTTCTATGATGGAAAGACAGAAGCTCAATTATGGTTAGGAACCTTGTAAGTTCTCAAGGAAGAAAAGGAGATGGGTTAAACAAACATATACCATACATCATATGTATAGTACTTCATCCACTTAATATAAAAGGTCATCACTTAAAGATAATACAATTCAATATTACATGAATTTAACAAACATTTTTACCTCCAAATGGAACAGTATTTTCAGAGGATTTTTCAGCTGCAATTCCTTTAAATACAGCATATTTATCTACTGAAGTCACTGCTTTAGTTCCAGGAAGTGGCATCAACAAAGATGAGGTACTAAGCAAAAAAAAGAAACATATCTTACTGACCAGAAAATCAAGTCATTCCATCAATTGTCATCAAACAGTATCTTAGAATATGGCAGAGCCAGGAGCCAGTGGCTCATGCCTATAATCCTAGCTACTCAAGAGGCTGAGATCTGAGGATCATAGTTCAAAGCCAGCCTGGGCAGGAAAGTCCATGAAGTTCTTATCTCCAACAAACTACTCAGAAAAAGCCAGAAGTGGCACTGTGGCTCAAGTGGTAGAGAACTGGCCTTGAGCTGAAGAGCTCAGGGCCAGAGCCCAGGCCCAGAGTTCAAGATCCACAGCCAAAAAAAAAAAAAGCAAACAGGTATCAAGCTAAAACCGTAGAACTTAGAAACCATATGCACATTCCTCAGATGACTATAAGTAATATTTTTACTTGAAAAATTGGGGTAACAAACAAGCAATATACTTTTTCAAGTAACTTAAGAGGGGTCAGATGGGTCCTTACCTCAGCATCTCTTTAAGCCATAATAATGACTTAAATGGCATTGGAAATAAATTACTAAAGAATAGAGACTTCCTGCAATTTTTTTGGGGGGGGGGTCAGTCGTGGGGCTTGAACTCTGGGCTTGGGCGCTGTCCCTGCGCTCTTCAGCTCAAGGCAAGCACCGCTTGAGCCACAGTACCACTTCTGGTTTTCTAGTGGTTTATTGGAGATAAGAGTCTCACGGACTTTCCTGCCCAGGCTGGCTTTGAACCGAGATCCTCAGATCTCAGCCTCCTGAGTAGCTAGGATTACAGGCATGAGCCACTCTGGGCACCTCCTACAATTTTAACTTAAGGTTTGTAAACTATAAAAGTACACAACTGCAAAAATGTACACCTAGCTGGGCACCAGAAGCTTATGCCTATAATCCTAACTACTCAGGAGGCTGAAATCTGAGGATTGCAGTTCAAAACCAGCCCAAGCAGAAAAGTTTGGGAGACTTTTATCTCCAATTACACACCAGAAAGACAAAAGTGGAGCTGTGCTCAAGTGGCAAAACACTAGCATTGAGTACAAAAGCTCAGGAACAGTCCCCAGGCCCTGAGTTTAAGAACAAAACCAAAAAAATACAAACCAAGGTAGGCACTGATGGCTCATGCCTGTAATTCTAGCTACTCAGGAGGCTGAGATCTGAGTATTGTGGTTTGAAGGTAGAAAGTAGCTCAAGTGGTAGCACGTTAACCTTGAGCATAAAGAGGCTCAGGGACAGTGCCAGGTCCCTGAGTTCAAGCCCCACACTGGCAAAATAAATAAATAAAAATAAAAAATAACAATATACACATATAGATATACCAATTCCTTAAAATAAATTACATTAACCTTATTATCAAATATTTCCTAAATGGGCTCAGAGTACATACAGATGTAATAGCTAACAATCTATTTATGAAATGCTGTCCAAGCCAATATGTAAGTTTTTAAACAAATTATATTACATTGCTTTCTAGCAGCTTATACATCGAATAAGAAATAGTAGAATTAATGCAATTTGCATTTTTTACAAAGATCACATCAGTGGTTCCAAAATATCTTATAGCACAATAATAATCACTTCAAAATTATATAGACATGGGCTGGGAAGGTGGCTCAGTGGTAGAGCGCTTGCCTTGCATGCCTGAGGCCCTGGGTTCGATTCCTCAGCACCACATTAAAGAAAAAAAGCCGGAAGTGGCGCTGTGGCTAAAGGGGTAGAGCGCTAGCCTTGAGCTGAAGAGCTGAGGGACAGCGCCCAGGCCCAGAGTTCAGGCCCCACGACTGGACCCCCCCCCAAAAAAATTAGATAGACATTTTTGTCTGTGGTTAAAGTATCCATTCATTACTGCATGGAAAATAGTATAATGAGCAGCACTACTTTTTTCTCTTATCACACCCCGGCAGCTACTACTTGAAGAACCACTTTTACCTATGATTACATCCTACCATCAGTTTGTGTCATTCAATACCACACACACACACACACACACACACATTATAGAAATGGATGTCTGTCTATTGTTCTTTACCCAAGAGCAAAAATCTTTCCACAGTCATTTAAATCTTCTTATCAGTGGCTTACAAGCAATGTAAAAAACTAGGCTGTCATACATGCATGCTAATGTGCTTTAGGACTTAGTGTCATCCAATATTAAAATTATTCATCACCACTAAGCAGCTGCTCCATGCTTGATCTTGACAAATGCAATAGGTTGCCATATTTTTAAGGTTCCACAAGTAATTAAACTCTGCTCACTGTACATCATGTTACATTGGAAAAAGATAGTATTTAAAGAAAAAAACCCACAAAGATGAATGGTCTATTTTTCATGATCATCCAATTTTAGCTATGGTCTTTTTAAAGCTTGTTGGCAAAAACAAAAAACAACCCAAACTACTATATGTGCCCTTTTTTTTTTTGGTCGGTCATGGGGTTTGAACTTTGGGCCTGGGTACTGACCATCAGCTCTTCAGCTCAAGGAGAGCACTCTACCACTTGAGCCACAGCACCACTTCCAGTTTTCTGGTGGTTTACTGGAGATAATGAGTCTCATAGACTATCCTGCCCAGGCTGGCTTTGAACAATGATCCTCACATCTCAGCCTCCTGAGTAGCTAGGATTACAGACGTGAGCCACCGGCGTCTGATTAAATTTTAAAATGATGAGAGTTAAAATTTCAGATGGACAAAAAGCAGGGAAACTAAAAAGTAAAAGCATGCACTGGGAACAGTAGGTCATGCTTGCCATCCCAGCTCTGGAGAAGGTGATCTGGAGGATTATGGTTTGAAACCAATTCAGGCAAAAAGCCAGCAAAACCCCCATGTCAACCAATGAGCCAGGCATAATGGCTCTTGCCTGTGGTTTCAGTTATGTCAGAGGCTGTAGTCAGGAGGATTATAGTCCAGGCTAGCCCAAGTAAATATGTGAGACTCAATCTGAAAACAGTCTAAAACAAAAAAAGGCTGAAGATATGACTCAAGTGGCAGAGCACTGGAGTAGCAACTGTAAGGCCTAAAACCAAAACACAAAACAAGAAAAAAAAGTAAAAGTATGAGGGAATAACCAAGGAATATAGAGTTACTTATTTCTTACTCTTGCTGTTTCTTTAAGATACTTCTTTCTCAATGATTAAATGCCATGTTAAAAATGTTCAACTCTCTTCTACCTGTTTCCATGCTGAGAATGACTTGTTTTTGAAGAAGCAGGCATCTCTTGAAAATCAGTGAATGAATCATCCAGGGATCCTGATTTAGAAGCATCTTGAAAATCTTGAAAGTCATCTTCTTCTGGTTTTCCCACCTAGATTTAGAGGCCATTTAAACAGAAAGCACAAACTTGATCTGATCAAATCTACAACTGTCAACCTCAAAGACTACCACATAAATTTCTCAATTTGGTTACAATTATGTAATTTTAGAACACTTTTTTTGTTGTTTGCAATGCTAGGGCTCAATCCCAAAGTGCTCCATCACTGAGCTACATCCTCAGCCCAGAAATTTTCTTTTCAACATAACACTCAAATGTTTTGCATTTTCAAATATTCTCTAGCACAAATAGTAAAAAAATTAGTTTAAGCAGCTAATCAACATATTTTAAAACATTCAATCACATTTACTGAGTTACTGAGAGTTTGCCATCTATAAGTAACAGTTGATGTATATTTAAAAATTATAAAAGTAACACAAGCTCCTTATAAGCCATTTCATATAAGTAAATACCAAGTCCATGATCTATTCTGTTCATTTGTTTTATATAACAAGTTTACAGGGCTGGGAAGGTGACTCAGTGGTAGGCCATGAGGCCCTGGGGTCAATTCCTTAGCACCACATAAAAAGAAAAAGCTGGAAGTGGTGTTGTGGCTCAAGTGGTAGAGTGCTAGCCTTGAGCTGAAGAGCCCAGGCCTAGAATTCAAACCCCATGACTGACAACAAATAAACAACAACAAAAACCCAAGCTTACATTACTCAGTTCTTTAAAAAAAATTGTAATTATAAACCCTAGCGTGATGAGGAAAGAAGATCGTGAGTTTGAGGCCATCCTAGGCTACTTAGCAAAACTCTTGTCTCTCCTTTTATGTTGGGCACTAGTGGCTCAGGTCATTAATCCAAGCTACTCAGGAGGCTGAGACATGGAGAATCTCAATTTGAGACCAGCCTGGACAGAAAGGTCTCCATCTCTAATTAATCAGCAAAATGCCAGACTGGAGTTATGGCACAAATAGTAGAGCACCATCTCTGAGCAAGAAAGTCAAGAGTATAGTCCCTGAGTTCAAACCCCTGTAATGAGGGGAGGAACTGTGCACACACACAAAAAGCAAAACCAAAAAAAAATTATTAACATCTAACTTAATTTTATTAAGCTTGAAGTTTAAAATATATATTCTATAAAGAACTATAAACCTTCACCCCAAACTCAAATATTTAATGCTTAAGAAATATCTTCACGTTTAAGTGATGAAAAACTAAATTTTGGAGCTGGGAAGATGGCTCAGTGGTAGAGCGCTTGCCTTGCATGCATGAGGCCCTGGGTTCAATTCCTCAGCACCACATAAGAAAAAAGCCGGAAGTGGCGCTGTGGCTCAAGTGGTAGAGTGCTAGCCTTGAGCTGAAGAGCTGAGGGACAGCGCCCAGGCCCAGAGTTCAGGCCCCACGATCGGACCAAAAAAAAAAACAAAAAAAAACAAATTAAATTTTACACTATATTTTACTACTGATTAAGTTTTTATTTTTTATTTTCTACAGTTCTGGAAATAGAACCCAGAGCCTTGTGCATGAGCTATACTCTCAGCCCCAATGCTTAATTTAAGTTGAAGTCTCCATTATAATCTAGCAGAGTGAATCCTTGGAAGAAAAATTGTCCTGATGTATCCTTGGGGATTATTTAGAATACACACGGCCTCTCTTATTTACCTGATTTGCTGGGTACGTTGGCATGAAGCCACTGGAAGCCGGTGCTGCAGCTCCACTCACTGGTCCAACAAGGTTAATGCCCATGACTGGCTGTCCAAGGTTAAGGGGCACAGAGCCTGCAGGAGCTGAAGGTATCACAGGAGGCTGACTCACTGGAGTAGGCAGAGGCATAGAAAAGCCACTCAGAGTTGGAATAGGGGCTGCTGGGAACTGATTTAAAGCATCAGGACTCATGGCAGGAACACCTCTCTATTATTGACAGGAAGAAAATGGAAACATTTTAGAAGATTGAAAAACACAGACAAAAATCTCATAGAGAGAGACCCAAACATTAAATTTGTAGCTTTCCTATTGTGTACACTCTGAATCTTTTACTGACTCCCAAATTCATGAATCTTATATAGGAAAAAAGTAACAAGGCAAACATAATACACAGCAAAGAAATGGCCAACACACATAAATTCTGATCTATCTGTCAAACTAACTCATTATAATCAAATGATTTAGATTTGCTCTGAAAGAAAATTTGCTATCAGACTGTGAATACTTTAAGGGATGGTGAAGAATGACTGAAAGGACATAAAGCAACTAGCTTTCAAGTTAAAGAGGAACATACCAAGGCTGGAGATAACATAAAAAGTCTTTAAACAAAAGGATAATGTATTAGTATGTGTATTACAAAATGCTTATTTTTGAAATACCATATCTTAAAAATGATCACAATTTTAATGTACAAAGAATTTTATGTGGTTGAAGTAAAATAAAAATCATATTCTTTCAATTTATATGAAAAGTCATTTGGTGTAACTAAAAGTTTTTTTTTTTACCTGTGTTACTGCTATCATGGCAAGAACAGTATAAAGTTCTTCTTTAGTAAGTTTGCCAGGTGTAGTTCGATTAGCTAAGGCCCATATCTGTCCAAGTGTTTCCCTGGGAAGTCCAGATGACATCAGAATAGGATAAAGTTTAGCAGTATCTATTCCAGTTGGAGTCATTGTGGTTTCAAAAATTTTCTTATAGGCATCTAGTAAAAGAAAGACCAGATTATAAATGTAAATACATGTCCTGTGGTTTTTATTGTCATTGTTGATATACAAGAATAATCTCGGGTTGGGAAAGTGGCTCAGTGGTAGAGTGCTTGCCTTGCATGCATAAGGCCCTGGGTTCAATTCCTCAGCACCACATAAGCAGAAAAAGCTGGAAGTGGCGCTGTGGCTCAAGTGGTAGAGCACTAGCTTTGAGCTGAAGAGCTGAGGGACAGTGCCCAGACCCAGAGTTCAGGCCCACGACTGGCAAAAAAAAAAAAAAAAGAATAATCTCAAATCAAACTAGTTTCATAGAACTGAAGCCACAACAGAGTATAAAATGTCAGAGATTCAAGTCGAAATAATCTAGCAGACAATTAAAAGTCTAGAACCCATAACAGAGGTAAGAGCTTGATTCTAGAGAGGAAGATTTGGGGTTGAAGGTATGATAATGTCTTAGAATTCAGGAGACATTATAACAATACTTTCTGTTTTATCTATTTTCTGGATACAAACAGTAATAGAAATAATAAGATGGGAGTGGAATAAGCAGAGACTTGGATTTTATAAAGTTGTAAGAGCTTGAAAATTGCCATGGGCAACAAGTACTATACCAAGCAACTTTCTCCTGGCCCAATGAATAAAAAAGAGGCTGAGAGGGAAAATACCAAAGGAGGTGCTCCAGAACACAGGCTGCAAGGAAAGGCCTGCATGTAGTTGCTATAAGGAAGTTCAGTGTTTGCAAAAGGAGACAGTGATTTTTTTCCACAGTAACTTGGTTCAAATGGACAAAGTTGGAAAAGCTGTTAGAGATAAAGTTACCAACAAAAAATTAAGAATGCTGGATAAACGTGTGCTGGTGCTTTAGAATATTGAGCATGTTCTGCACCAGGGCTATTGTCTAATTTTAATCTACAAACATACCTGCTACCCAGAGGCAAGTATGAATTTAATTCATATTGGCTGTTGACCCCTTCTGAGGTTGTAGCATATGCTCTTAAATCAGTTTCAACTTTAAAGTATCTACTTCATTCCTGAATAAGTAACATATGTACAAACCCCTTGAATTCCAGCAATATTTTAGAAAATACCTATTAAAACACAAGTTGTATTGTCAGGCATTGTCACTAGAGAACACACAACAATATTTGGTGTGTTGCAAGCTTGAAGATAACTTAAACTTGAAATAGGTGGTCCATTAGTTGTACCTGATGGATGTGAATTTGCTTCCTAGTTCATTTTGTGTCAAGAGCTAAAACTATTAACCTTTATTGTCAGATAATAACAAAACAAAGATTTATTTTCATGCTCAAAAAAAAGGACTAAGGATGCTAACATTGCATGTACATACTTACTCTCAATAGTTATTTGCTATTTATCTGAAATTCAAATTTCATATATGATTCTTAAATTTGGCAGGCCCAAAGAATTGTTGCAAATGAGAGAGCAGGGCTCAAGGAGACAGAAAAAGTTTAAAACAAGATACAGAATGGGGAGTTTTAAGAAAACCAACTACTACTATGTACAATTGAAGTCCCATGTATTTTGGGGGAATAATTACCCTTTGTGATTGATTTACAACATGACTGGTTTCTTCTGAAAAGCAGTTCAGCTACAGAATTCATGCATTTAATTGAGTCAAATGTAGAACTTTAGTCTGATCAGTGGAGAAATCTGAAGATCTAATGAGTACTTTCTAGTTTTCAAAGTATTGGCAAAGCAGGGAAAACTAAAAAGGTACAATTTTATTAAGATTAACATATGCTGCTGTAATTGTCATTCTATGCAAATCAATCAAAGCTAGACTATTTCTATCAATTAAGCATTATCACAAAATACATTTTAATTTTTTTGGTTCAGCAGTAATACATGAAGAAAAAAAATACACATGAAGAAAAAATGAGCTTCACAAGTACAGAAAAAGATGGCACCCAGAATTTTATATATAGTACCAGATTTTATTGACTAGTACAACAGCCTGTAATCTCAGCTAATCAGGTGGTGGAAGATTGAGAAGACTGAGGTTCAAGGCCAAAGGACAAAGTCAGCAAGACCTATCTCAATGAACAAGGTGGACACAGTGGTATTATATCTCTAACACCAGCTTCACAGGAGACTTAGGTAGGAGGATAGAAGTCCAAGAGCAAAAATCTGAGACCCTATCTGAAAAATAACCTAAAACAAAGCAATAGACTACGTGCCTAGCAAATAAATCTAAGGCTCTAAGTTTAAATTCCAGGGCTGAAAAAAAATTTCATCCAGGTGTGGTGGCACATATGCGACACCAGTTACTTGGCAGGTGGTGGTAGGAGGATCTCAAGTTTAAAGTTAGTCTGGGTAAAGTTAGCAAGATCCTATGTCAAAACTGAAAATAAAGTTCTAATGGCATAGTTCAAGTGGTAGACTGCTTGCCTAGCAAGTGTGAGGTCTTGGAATCAGTCCCTAGCAATATAAAATATGATAAAATATTATTGTCCTTTTTTATCACAATTTAAACACACACAATATAAAAGATCTTTGTGACCAGCTTTTAATTTTTATTTATTTTCTAGATAAGTTATCACCACATAATCCAGGCTGGCCTTGTACTCATGATCGTCCTACCTCAGCCCCTGGAATGCTGGGATTTCAGAAATTCACTATCACATCTAGTTTAAGAAAGCTTTTACTAACAAAAGTATATGATGGTCAACAAAATATTAAAACAAAGCATTTCTCCAGCGTTTATATAGTTCAAAATCATTTTATTTACTCTTTCAGACAAAAAAAAAGTGACAATTCCTTCCTTCTGCATATTTTGTGACTGCAACAGTAAATACTTACAATCATAGCTATAGTATTTAAAGCAAAATAGGCAGATGGGAATCCTGGGCAAAAAAAAAACCACTTTTGTTTACCTGGAACCAAATTCTCGTTGTAAATCCAAGGAGGCATTCTGGGCTGAACTGGATCCTGTGAGGGAAATACTCCCACACCTAGGAGATAACAACATTCAGTGGATATCATGGTCCATGGAGAAGATGGAGGGCTGGGGGTGGATGGTGAGAATCACACAGAGTCAAGCTTTATAATTTATAAAGACGAGCATTGGCTGGAAAGACTAGAGAAAAGTCACCAATACAACACAAGTATTTGGTTTCAAACAACTCTTGTACTCAGTAAGCACATCTACACGAGTAAATTAAACTGAGCTATCCCAAATCACTGTTCTGAATCATGTGAGGCTTGTACCATTTCATGTATATTACAAAGTAAAGGAAAAATTGTGATAACCAACTTAAAATTCTATATGTAAGAAATTTAATGGCCCAAATTTACTTGTAGACTTTAATATACATTTTTGCCAATCCAATTTTTTTTTTTTGTCAGTCATGGGCTTGAACTCAGGGCCTGGATTCTGTCCCTGAGCTCTTTTACTCAAGGCTAGTACCCTACTACTTTGAGCCATAACATCACTTATGGATTTTGAGTGGTTGACTGGAGATAAGAGTCTCACAGGGACTCTTCTGTCCTGGCTGGCTTCAAACTGCGATCCTTAGATCTCAGCCTCCTGAGTAACTAGGATTACAGGCATGAGCCACCAGTGCCCAGTCAAAATGCTTTTTAACCTGAATATTGCTCCTCTGCCAGTAAAATATCCTCCAGAAATTTGTCTCTTAAGACTACTTACATGCTAACTCATTTCTTTTTTTTTTTTTTTTGTCGGTCGTGGGGCTTGAACTCTGGGCTTGGGCGCTGTCCCTCAGCTCTTCAGCTCAAGGCGAGCGCTCTACCACTTGAGCTACAGCGCCACTTCCGGTTTTCTGGTGGTTTATTGGAGATAGGAGTCTCATGGTCTCTCCTGCCCGGGCTGGCTTTGAACCGCGATCCTCAGATCTCAGCCTCCTGAGTAGCTAGGATTACAGGCGTGAGCCACCAGCGCCCGGCGCTAACTCATTTCTGTAAATTTATAAAACTTGGATATGTGTCAGGCCATGTCTACCACTGTGCTATACTCCCACCCAAATTTTTATATATTATGTATGTGGTACTAGACACCAAACACAGGGCCTGGGCATGTTAGGTAAAGTCCTTTAGAACTGAACTATACCCCTAGCCTCCAAATTTGAATTTTATTTTTGGTGCCAGTCCTGGGGCTTGAACTCAGGGCCTGGGCACTGTCCCTGAGCTTCTTTTTGTTCAAGGTTAGTGTTCTGCCACTTGAGCCACAGCTCTACTTCCTGAAATTTGGATCTTTTTGGCTGCAATGTTTTGTTTCCTGGTTGTTTATTAGGGCAGGTACTGGGTCTTACTATGTAGCCCAGGATGGCCTATAAATCCATAATCCTCCTGCCTCTAGCATTGAATGCTGTGACTACAGATGTGTGCCACTGCACCCAGCTATGATTTTGGAGAAAGAAAAGCTATATTATCATTGGTGACTTTTCCAGTTATCTTTTAACTTTCCTGGAAGAACAAAGTGTGGGGGGGGGGGGAAGCTAGCTTTTATAAAAGGAAAGTAAATGTAAGTCAGGAATGATTCTGATTAAGAAAATTCATTATCAAAATCATGTTTTGAAAAGGAATATATAGTGTGTTGAAAGGATTCAGAGCAAAACTTTAGGGGTTAATTGGAGAAAGGACTGTATTAAATATATTTTAAGCAAAAAATTTAAGCAGCAAAATCAAGCAGCATTTATTTTCAGATTAATGCTTAAAATGTTAGCATTTGAGCGGCATTTGGTTAAACATTTTTTCTCAATGTTTCTTGAGCTCACCACTCTCTTCAATGGACCGTGTTAGGTCTGAAGTCTTTTCTGTCTCTGCAGGGGTGGTACCATTTACACATCCATCTACAGCAACCCCGTTACTGGCCGTTAAACTGAGACAGTTCTTACTGGAACCTGGGTCTAAGGCTTTGTGCCCAACTTCAGAAGTACTTAATTTAACTTGTTCCTGCCCAGATGTATTGATAGCACAAGACACTAGGAGCTTCTCCTCCAAGGAAGGGCCTAAACAAACAGCATGAAGGGTTATTGGTATATAACTACATATTTCCAATCATTTCAATCATCCCTTTCCACCCTCACATTCTAAAGGGATGGGCCTACAGGTGTAATAGATTTGGAGTAACTTATTTGGAGACTTGGAGACTTGAGGGATATGGGAGAAGGAACATAAATGTCACTATCTTGTGACTGTCAAGAATTCGGTAAGTTATTGGGGAGAACAGTGCACGCTGCTTCAGAAATGCGGAAACTGACATTTAGAGGTGGCCTCACCTCTGGGTCCATTTCTATATCTGTTAAATGAAAAGGCATGGATTAAGATCCCCCAGAACAGTAAGTGTCTCAAGACAGGGGTAGCATTGTTTCGTAGAGAATAAAAAGTAGAACACAGAATGTTTACAGACTTTTCAAGGACAGCTGATAAGAAAGGAACATTCATGCCTTTTCTACCACCAAGAGTCACTCAGCCAGAAAGAAGCCTTTCTTTCTCCTTTTTCTTTCCTGATTTTGGGTTTGTTGAGGAGGACTCACTGTGCAGACCAGGCTTTTAGCATTCTTGTCTCAGCCTTCCCTAGTGCTAGATTACAGGTGTAGACTCCCATGCTTGGCTTTGAAAGAGCACTTTTTAAAGGAGCTTTCCTAAACTCACTCACTATTCTTACGAAAATGATATTGGTGGTTTTTTTTCCAAACAAAATAATGGTTTCTAGTTTAGTAGCACAAAGTTAAATCACTTTATTTTGGCATGTGCAGGCCCTAAACTTAAAATTTTTGACACTCTTCATACATTTGTGTTCATACTTCTTTGCTGACCTTACTGTGTTATTCTACTTATGTAACAGATTATCCTAGGATATCTTAAGATGTTTTCATTAATAATATGACAAGTTACCTGCTTTCTGCATAATGTGTGAAGCTGAAGCAGTGGAGTAATAGGGAATTTGCCCAGGGACACCATGTAAGGCAACAGACACTGGAATCTGAGTTGGAGGGGGAGGCTGTACTCCAGCCTTCTGTGATTGCAACTGGCCAAGTGGGGTGGTGGTATGGAAAGATTGAAAGGGCTGGGCTGTGGAAGGTGGCCCACAGATGGGAACTTCCACAGGGCCCTGCATAAAGTCACTGAATTCATCTTCATCAAGAAAGGCGGATGATGGGGAGACATTTTTAGTAGGATGAGATGATGTGAGACAATCTGCAAAATGGAAAATGGCAATGAAACACACAGAAATGAAAATCAACACAGAAATAGAAATTATGATGCAGTACCATTCCAAAGAGACACACTGACATGAATAGTGGAAGTAAACAAGTAACAAGGGTCAGGTGGAATTATATAATGCATCCAAATGATGTTGATGTCTGTTTATATACAATTTTACAACATTAATAAAAATGATAGCTATTTTACATTTGGTTTAAAAAAATTAACTCAAAATTTCCTTCTTTTTATTAGGTTAGTTCTCATTTCTTTTCCTGAGACCACCAATAAGTTCACACTAAAGTGGTAATTATTTTTTAAATCCAAATGATTCATCTGCATATTTCCTCCTACATATATCAGATTTGAGAAAACTTAGTTGTATGCTGCTCAATATATTTTGGACAGACATATTCTCTGCTTAATTTTATTATTTAGTAAGAAATAATATACAACACAAATATGTAATTACTTTTATATCATGTCTGATCCACTTACTTTGGAGATCACATTTTAATAAGTTACCATATGAGGAATTAATATTACATATTCATATTAAATATACAATTAAAGAGATATTTTCTTTTTGTTTTTGTTGGTTCATGGGGCTTGAACTCAGGACCAGGGTGTTATCACTAAGCTTTTTCATTCAAGGCTAGTGCTCAACCACTTTCAGCCACAGCTCCACTTGTTTTTATTTTTGTTGTTGTTTTTGCCAGTTGTGGGGCTTGAACTCTGGGCCTGGAAGCTGTCCCTGAGCTCTTCATCTCAAGGCTAGTGCTCTACCAGTTGAGCCACGGCACCACTTCTGGCTTTTTTTGTTTATGTGGTGCTAAGGAATTGAACTGAAGGCCACATGCATGCAAGGTAGGCACTCTACCACTGAGCCATCTTCCCAGGCCTCCACTACTGGTTTGATGGTGGTTAACTGGAGATAAAAAGTCTCAAGGACTTTCCTACCTGGGCTGGCTTCGAACCATAATCTTCAGATCTCAGCCTCCTGAATAGCTAGGATTATAGGCATGAGACACTGATGCCCAGCCAGAGTAATGTTTTCTTATGAAAAGTACCCAAACTGGGATATCACAGTGTGCTCAATAAAACAACTCATTTTATTTCTTTGTTGGTTGTGGGGCTTGAATTCAGGCGCTGTCCCTGATCTCTTTTGCTTAAGGCTGGCACTCTACCACTTTGAACCACATCATCACTTCCAGTTTTCTGGTGGTTAATTAGAGGTAAGAAGCTCATGGACTTTACTGCCTGGGCTGGCTTTGAACTATGATCCTCAGATCTCAGTCTCCTGAGGAGCTAGGATTACAGGCGTGAGCCACATGCATCTGGCAATAAAACAACTCATTTTAAGAAAGTATATCTTGACTGATGACTGCATTTAAAAGATTACTCTGGCTTTTATTATGAAATGTAAGATTCACTCATGTAATAAATCTACTCTATAGGAGCTACATTTAGAATGAAGCTAATAAATAATACTATTTTATTGTTGTTTTTTCACTTTTAGTTACCAGGAATAGCTTTAAATCCATTAAAGTGTCATTTGAAAAAGGATACTACATGCTTATTATACCTCTCTTTAGGATCGATAAAATCTGTAAGCAAAGTTCTATGAAAAATGCAAAATGAATATGCAAAATTACTATTTTAATTAACAATGGCTACTAAGAGCATGTTGGTTTACATCCTCGATGAGTTTTTAGCAACTTGGAATTTATATCTGTATCTATGTATATATATTTTTTGGTCTTGGAACTCAGGGCCTGGGCACTGTCCTTAAGCCTCTCTGTGCTCAAGGCTAGTGCTCTACCACTTGAGCCACAGGACCACTTCTGGCTTTTTCTGTTTATGTGGTACTGAGGAATCGAACCCAAGGCTTCATGCATGCTAGGCAAGCACTCTACTGCTAAGCCACATTGCCAGCCCCAGCAACTTGGAATAGATAGGGCCCCCTTCCCAGCCCTTTGTTTTTTTTTTTTTGGTCAGTCATGGGGCTTGAACTCTGGGCCTAAACGCTGTCCCTCAGCTCTTCAGCTCAACACAAGTGCTCTATCACTTGAGTCACAGTGTCACTTCCAGTTTTCTGGTAGTTTGTTGGAGATAAAGTGTCTCACAGACTTTTCCTGCTCGTGCTGGCTTTGAACTCTGATCCTCAGATCTCAGCCTCCTGAATGGCTAGTATTACAGGTGTGAGCCACCAGTGCCCAGTTTAGGAATATTTTTTAAATGTACTTTGGAATCTACAACTAACAGCTTCCAACAGCTTCCAAGACTAAACCAGTGGTTTTTGTATGTGGCTGAAATTATATCTATAATGGTATATACTTTGACTCACAATATTGAAATATTGAAACTATTATATTGCATATTTTAGTATTTAAAAAAAGTCTGGTGGAGAAATTTACAAAATGCCTTTGGTGATAAAAATATTACAAATTGATACCCTTCAGTCCTAAGTTTATGACTGTAATTGGAGAGGCACTGGGATCAAATTGGGCTTGCTTCTGTACAATCTTTTTCTTGCTCAGCATGTAGTGGTTAACTAGAAATTTTCTTTTTGTGTGTGGGGGGGTCCTGAGGTTTGAACTCAGGGTCTTGGCATTGTCCCTGAGCTTTTTTGCTCAAGACTGAAGCCCTACTGATTGAACCATACCTCTACTTTCCACTTTTTGTTGGTTAACTGGAGATATGAGTTTCATGAACTTTCCTATTCAGCCTGACTTTGAACTCAGCCTCCTGAGTAGCTAGAATTACAGGATTGAGCATGTATTGAGACATTGGCTTAGTATAAGTATGCAGATTGAACTCCAGAGATTTGAACATCAAAACAACAATTTGTAGCCTTACAATAAGTTTTCTTCATTGAACAGCTCCTGTTCACCTACATCTGAATGCAAAAAATTGTTGGGCTGGGAGGTTGGCTCAGTGGTAGAATGCTTGCCTTGCATGCATGAGGCCCTGGGTTCAATTCCTTAGCAGATTCCTTATCCACATAAGCAGAAAAACGCTGGAAGTGGTGCTGTGGCTCAAGTGTTAGGGTGCTAGCCTTGAGCTGAAGAGCTGAGGGACAGTGCTCAGGTCCAGAGTTCAGCCCCCACGACTGACACACATAAAAAAATTCTTCAGAGATAGAAGAGTGACTTAAAATGACCATACTCTTGGCCTTCTTCTTCCTTTTCTAGGTGTGGTACCAAGTCCACATTTAGTATTAATTTCCAATGTTTACTCTTGTAAAAAACTTTTTCCCCTGCTGAGCTTACAATTTTCATTTTTAGATGTTTTTTTCTTTCTGACCTCAGTAATTGCTGATATCTATTCTCCATTGAATATATACTTTAGGGCATATTTTTGGAATGGGCATTTTAGTATGTGATCTAACTGGTGAAATTAATAGGCCAGAATCAAAACTAGCCCAGAGAATCAAAACTAGCCCAGAAAATCAAGAACTGGTAATAACACTGATGCAAGATTATTTTCATATGTATATACATATATATATATATGTATATATATATGTATATATATATATAAAATTAAAATATACGAAGTGGTGCTGTGGCTCAAGCAGTAGAGTCCTGGCCTTGAGCTGAAGAGCACAGGGACAGCGCCCAAGCCCAGAGTTCAAGCCCCATGACCGACAAAAAAAAAACAACCAAAATTAAAATACAATGGCTTAAAGTAAAATGTTTTGATATAATATTTTTCAGTAGAAGACAGTACTTCTTGTTTGGCTGGATGATTTTATGAAAACCATATACCTATTAATGCTGTCATTGTTGAAATTAGCTGATAATAAATGCCAGGATACTGAATTTTTAAAAGGATATAACAATTATGCAAGTCAAAATAATTAAAAACCCCCAAGAGGCTGATGAGTACACTGTATACATGTTTTCCTCCCCTTGCATAACTAATGTATACTCATAAGTAAACCACAAGCCCTTTACTATGCAATGTATCTTTTTTCTTACCTGATGATAAAAACTACAAAAGTTCATTAAAGAAACTTTTATGAGCCGGGTGCTGGTGGCTCACGCCTGTAATCCTAGCTACTCAGGAGGCTGAGATCTGAGGATCGCGGTTCAAAGCCAGCCCGGGCAGGAGAAACTGTGACACTCCTATCTCCTATAAACCACCAGAAAGCCGGAAGTGGCGCTGTAGCTCAAGTGGTAGAGTGCTCGCCTTGAGCTGAAGAGCTGAGGGACAGCGCCCAGGCCCAGAGTTCAAGCCCCACGACCGACCAAAAAAAAAAAAAAGAAACTTTTGTGAGAGCATTATTGAACTCATGACTTCCCCCCCAAAAAAAGAAGAAAAGGGGGCATTTTAAGAATATGTAATTTTTTTGTCACATTCAATAATAAAATATGAACTACTTCATAAAAGGTAAGATTTTAAAACAATAAGGGTAAAGAAGTAAATGTTTTACATTTGCTTTGATTCAACAGATTTTACTAATGTTAACATCCTCATTTACATATAGATTTACAAATGAAGTAGCAGACAAAAGATTATCCCTTCTAAGAGATGATATCTAGGTCAGATCCCTCTGGTGCAATGCTGGCTGCTTTCTAGGCAGGCACTTACCCTAATGAGCCACACTCCAGCCATTAGGTCAGATCTCTTAAATTTTGAAACATCCAAATATATTCTTAGGTTGAAGGAAAAGTTCTTCAATCATGTATTAGTCAATTAAACATACAAGGACTGTAAGTCAATTAAACATACAAGGATTCTAAGTCACCTTCTAAGAAAAAAAAATGTTCACGTCTCTTAAAACTACCTGATTTCTTAGGGTGTGATACTGGAGTAGGGTGCATCTTTGCATCTCTGGAAAATCCATCTAAGTTTCCTTTTATGGCCTCCAAAGCATCATCTCTACTCTTCTCTCCTGTCTAAGAGAAAACAAATGTATGTATATTTCATCACTCACCTCTCACTTGCTCTTCACCCTCCCCAATTGAAAACATAGTTATTAATATATTTCTTTTCTTTTCCTTTCCCTCCCTCTCTCTTTTCTTTCTTCTTTTTTCTTTCCTTCCTTTCTTCCTTTCTCTCTCTCTCTTTCTTTTCTTTGCTTTCTTGCTTTCTGTTGTAGGTTTTGAACTCAGAGCCGGGGCACTGTCCTGAACTCTTTCTGCTCAAAGCTAGTGCTCTACCACTTTAGTCACAGCTCTACTTCCAGTTTTCTGGTGGTTAATTGGAGACAAGAGACTCACAGACTTTTTTTGTCTAGGCTGGCTCTGAACCATGATCCTCATACCTCAGCTAGGAGTACAGGTGTGAGTTACCAGCACTCAATTATATAAACTGCTTCTAATAGATACTTCTAGTAACTTTCTGACCATATATTTCTGAGAACAATTTCTCCAAGTCAGAAAGTCATTGATAAGTATATAAAATGAAGGCACAGAATAAGATTCGACTATAAAAATATTAAAAGGCTCACCCATAATTACTTCAGGATATGGCTGCTTTATAGTAAACATTCCACCAGTGACTTCCAGAAATCCATTTCTAGCACTACATTTAAGATTAGTGCTTTCCAAGAAAAAAGATTATAAACGCCACCATGTCATTAAAAAATGAGTTGAGAAGACAATGATTAATCTCTCATTCTTATCAAAAACAGAGGTTGTTACAGAAACATCCCTCATTTTAGACCTCAGATAAAGGAAAAAGAAAGGGATCCATCACAGCCTGGCTTGGCTGGTGCTGCAGTGATAAAAACCAGTGAATGAGGAGGTGCAGGTACATTCAGGGGCTATATGTTTTGGGAGAGAGGAGATAAGAAATACATTACCTTGGGTTTCACACTACTCAGAAGTCTGAGCTTTTGCTTTTGTTCTTCAAACTGGCGTCTTTTTCTTTCTTCCTCTAAGAGTTTTTGCTGCTGTTCAAATCGTTTCCTGCAGGAAAACCAATGTAATAAATCCAGCTTCAAGAAATAACTGTCATAGAGTTCTACTAAGTTTCAGCAGTATCATCCTGCATTTCTAGAATTATAGTCTTCATTCCTAATTATATGTATTTTATGGCAAGTTCTTTCTATTCTAAAATACTTGAAATCTAAATAATGATTCACTTAAATTATATATATATATATATATAAAATATATATATATATATAATGTGTGTGTGCATATATATATATATTTTTTTTGACAATCTTCTTGGGGTAGAAGAGGGTACTAAGGTTTAAACCAGGGCCTCTTACATGCTATGCAAGCAGTCTGCCATTGAGCTATCTATATCCCAACTCTAGAGGAAACATTTTGCATAGAAAAATTAAAGAAGAACAAAAACAAAGAAGGCAGAAAAACATGCACTCTTTGCTTACAAAAAGAAACTTGAGGGTTAAGATGATAGCTCAGTAATAGGGAACTAGCCTAACATTCATGAGGCCCTCGCTTCAATCTCCAGTACCACCAAAGCAAACCAAAGAATGAACCCAAACAAAGAGGGTAACAACCACCAAACATTTTTAGGTCTACATGTAATAGCATATGCCTGTAATCCCAGCACTTGGGAGACTAAGGTAAGAGGATACCACTTTCATGGTCAGTCTGAGCTATATCTCAAGTAAATAAAAGTAACAGAAATTTCCTTGGGAAGGTAGTATGTACATAAGAGCAATATTCTGAGAATCAGGGTGCCTGCAAATGTGTCGGTAAACCTCCCACCCTCAACCTCTCCAGGTACTGAAATTACAGGAGCATATCACTACATCACTACTCTAACTTCTAATAAAAATATTTTAAAGAGCCCTGTCTCAAAACCAAGTATTTTGAAGAGTTCTACAGGCAATTTGAGTATTTCAGCTTCAAATGTGCACTACAGAGTATTTGTCTATCTATAAATTGGCTTTTATATATATCTTGGTTATCCTTGAGTTGTAGAATTCTCTTACTGTTGCTCTTCTGCAAATTGCTTCTGCATGTCTGGAGTATATTGTGGGCCTGGAGGACGCATTCCCAGGAATGGTGCTTGTCCCAGGTAAGGCATTCCAGCAGCTGGCATTGGGCCCATTGGTATTCCTGCCTGCAAAAAAGAAAGGAGGAAAATTTTTCTTCCCAATGATTACAAAGAAAAAGTAAATCACATAATAAGGTCTTAATATTTTTATTAGTAAGCCATATAGCACAGCATAATAATAGAAGATTCAAAGAACATAGTCTAGAATGGAAAGCTCTCCATTCTCTGCAGTGCATTAGAGCTGATCACTACTAAAGGTGCAAGAGGAAGCAGAGTTTATAGAATCCTTTAGCTAGGTTTGAAGTACAAACACAGGAATATTCTTTCGAACTCACTAATTTTCACATCTTGGAAAAGGTTCGCATGTCTTATATATTTTTGTAATTTCAGCTATAGAATAATGCTGAATTTAAAGAAATGGAAATCTCGCACCAAGTACCAGGTACCAACCCTGCTTAGCTTCTGAGGTCAGACAAGGTGGGGCACATCTACAGTGGTATGGCCAAAGGCATAACTCATATTTTCAGGAAATTTTGGGACATAGTACTGGGGTTTGAACTAAGGGCCTCAAGCTTGCTAGGCAGGTCCTCTACCACTTTAGACACACATCAGCCATTTTAGCTTTATTTATTTATTTTGGATAGAGTCTTATATTTTGGCATAGGGTTGGCTATAGATCACTATCTTCCCATTTACACTCTCCCACATAGCGGGATTAGATAGGATTTACCATGGCTGGTTTATTTGTTGAGGGGTTTTGATAATATTTTGCCTGGCCAGCCTCAAATTGTGATCCTCCTGATATCTGCCCTCTTCAGTACCTGGAGTTACAGGTGTGAGCCACCATGCCCCCACTAGTTTAAAAATCCTTAGAGCATTTGCCTAGCATGTGTGGAGCCCTAGGTTCAATCTCCTGAACAACAAAAAAAGGAAAGAAAGGAAAGGAAGAGAAAGCCCCATGGCTAACAAGAAAAGAAAAAAAATCACATCTCAAAATATAACATTAAACATTTAAGAACACAGCTGTTGGTATGCAGACCTCTAGTGATAAACAGTAACTTCATAAACAATAAACAAGTACCTGCATAGCAATGGGTCCTTGGGACATTTGAGAGCCATAATTCATTCCCATCATGCCTTGCATATTAGGCTGCATGACAGAGACCATAGGGAATCCTTGTTGCTGCATTGGCATGAGGCCTGCTAAAAAACATCAAGACATTGTTAAAGTAGCATGTTTTAAAGTTTATTTTTTTTTATTTTCTCACCTCAGATCATAACGTTTATTTTCTTAAAACCATAAGTACAGCTGGGTGTTGGTGGCTCATGCCTATAATCCTAGCTACTCAGGAAACTGAGATCTGAGGATCTCAGTTCATAGCCGGCCCAGGCAGGAAATTCCGTGAGGCTCTTATCTCCAATTAACTAGCACAAAGCTAGAAATGGAGCTGTGGCTCAAATGGCAGATCACCATGCTTGGGTGAAGGAGAGAAGGGATAGTGCCCAGGCTCTGAGTTCTCATGTCTTCCTTAAGCCTTGTGAGAGGCCTTGAGCCATAATCACTTAGCAAAACTACTTACAGACACGTTACATGTTACAAAATACTAAAATGTTTAGTTTTTAAAGTTTGGGGATAATTTGTTATGTGGCAGCAGGTAACTGATAACAGTTAAAGAGCATGAATTCTGGGAGCCAATTAGAAGTACCACTTACTAGCTTTGGTTTTTCATAACTTCTTTCTGTATCTTGGCTTCTCATCTGTAAAACTGCTTTATGCTTATTATATCAAAAATAGTTCTTCTCCCTTCTTATATGAATAGTGAATGTAACATTTATCACAAACACAGTCACTGGCATGCAAAGTATGTAATTAAATGAAAGGGAAACTTTTGTTTTCCTATATCTCTTCCAACTATCCCCAGGATCAGAGGGCAATGAATATACATATGATGCATTTGGGGATTTAATAAATAGTAAAATATGGCTTGGTGACACCAAATTAAAAACCCTTATAGAGCTTGAAAATAACTTTCATTCTAATATTGCATTTTACTACATCATCTTAAGCTTATATTGGTTTGACTAGAAGATTTTTTTTTTTTAATTTGTCAATCATGGGGCTTGAACTCTGGGCCTGGGTACTGTCCCTGGGCTTTTTATTCAAGGCTAGCATTCTACCACTTGAGCCACTATGCTACTTCTGGCTTTTTTTGTGATTTACTGGAGATGAGAGTCTCATGGACTTTGCTGCCTGGGCTGGCTTCAAACTACGATCCTCAGATTTTAGGCTCCTTAGTAGCCAGTATTACAGGTATACATGACTGGTGCCCAGCTTTGCTACAAGATCTTTGTTGGTTGGTTTGTTTGCATTACTGGGGATTGAACTCAGGACCTGATGCTTACTAGGAAAGTACTCTACCACTTAAGTCACACCCCCTAGTCCAGTTTTTTTTAAATTTCATTTATTTTTATTATAAAGGTGATATACAGAGGGATTATAAGGCATGTAATGAATTCCTTTCCTACACTGTCTTCTGTCCCCTCACTCACTCCCAGTTCCTCCCTCCCAATCTCTACCCATGAGCTGTATAGTTCACTTTCATCCAAGTCTGGTGAGTTTCACTACTGTACTTTTTTATACCCTTTTCTCTTGAGTTCTGTACCTCTACCTTCTTGGAAGAAATACATCTGAATATAACATACATAAAGAAAAGAAGAGAGAATCATCAAAAAACAATTTTTAAAAAGAGAGAGATCTCATTTACATCAGTTTTTCTTTTCTTTTTTTTCTTTCTTTTTCTTTTTTGCTGGTCCTGGGGCTTGAACTCTGAGCCTGGGCACTATCCCTGAGCTTCTTTTTGCTCAAGGCAAGCACTCTAACCCTTGAGTTACAGAAACACTTCTGGCTTTTTTGAGTTTTTTGGAGATAAGATTCTCACGGAGTTTCTTGCCCAGGCTGGCTTTGAACTGTGATTCTCAGATCTCAGCCTCCTGAGTAACCAGGATTACAGGTGTGAGCCACAGAGCTCAGCTCAGTTTTACCTTTTTTTTTTTTTTTTTGGTTGGTCGTGGGGCTGGAACTCTGGGCCTGAGCTCTGTCTCTGAGCTCTGCAGCTCAAGGCAAGCATTCTACCACTTGAGCCATAGCATTACTTGCAGTTTTCTGGTGGTTAAATGGAGATAAGGATCTCACAGACTTTGTTGTCCTGGCTGGCTTTCAAGTGTGATCCTCAGATCATTTTACTACAGTAAAATTAGCTACAGTTTTACTTTTTTAAACCAAAATTTCAGTTTAAAAGGTAAAGGTCATTTAAGCATCATTGGCTCATACCTATAATCCTAGTTACTTAGGAGTCTAAGAGATGAAGATTGTGGTTTGAAGCCTTACTGGGCAGAAAAATCCAAAAGACTCAATCTCCAATTAACCAATCAAAAAGCTGGACTGGAGGTGTGGCTCAAGTAGTAGAGCACCAGCTTTGAACAAGAAAGCTGAGTGAGTACATGAGGTCCTGAGTACAAGCGCCTGTATTGGCACACACAAAGAAAAGTTTAAAAATTAAAAAATAAAGGTCTAGAAAAGTATATATTTTGTAGTTTCTGTTACTTCCCAAATTAATTATATCTAACTTAATTTCAGAAGCATGGACATTTACATTTCTAGGTAACAACTATTAAGAGGCAGGGCAGCCATTTATTCATTCAATCATTTATTCAAGTATTTGAGGACCTATTCCATGTTAGGAAACATTGTAGAGAACACAACAATGAATAAAACCAGGCCTTTCCCCTCATGGAATTTATACTGTAATTGCAGCAGATAAAAAAAAAAAAAAGAAACATTGGGGGGGAGGGGGGAGGCTGGGAAGGGATGTGAAGGGTAAACAAAGGAGGAGGCTGCAATGTTTGGTAAGAAATGTACGCATTATCCTGCCCATGTAATTGTAACCCCTCTGTACAGTATGTTCACAAATAAAATAAAATTAAATATAAAAAAAAAGAAACAAAAAGCATACGTGCAGGTACTGTAGAGACAGGGCAAAAACTGAAGCAGGATAATGGGGAAGAGGAGAGTCAAAGTGTGGAGCAACTGGGTTTTTTTGGTAAGACAGATTCACAAAACTTTTGCCAAAAAACCCTCACAAACTTTTGCCAACATTTAGTCAAAGACCTGAAGGAAGTAAGGGAGCAAGCCACCCAGATATCTGAATAGTATTCCAGACAAAGGAATCTCAAATGCAAAGACCATGAAGTACAATGGTAAATTAGACTGAAGAGATTAAATAAAGCCACAGTGAGATGTTCTCCCTCTTACTCTTTGGATTTAAACTCTTTTTATTAAAATAATAAAATAGTAACTTGAACTACAGGTGTGAGCTACCAGTACATAGCTATTTTATCATTATTATTTTAGTTCTGGATGGGCAACTCAGGTTTGTGGTATAACTTTGGTAAGCACTAAAGAATAAATGGAAAAAAAGTATTTTCTCTCCTATCTCTTGTTTAAGTACATGTGGACCTTGTGGCCACTTCTGCTGTTGTTTTCTTGTATATGCTTTTAGAAATGATTATACATAAAATCTTAAATGATCAAGAAGTCATTCTAATATAATTTATTTTTTTTTGAAATTCCAGATGCTTTTTATTTTATCCATGCTTACTTTTTCTAATATAATTTATTTTAAAACCCTTCAAAACAATTCTAAATTGGTGAAGAAAAAATATATCAGGCAACCTTTAGGATCTTTTCTTCTTCAGTTTCCTTCCTCCCTATGTAGATTTTTATGTGGAAGTTTATAAAAATGCAAAAGAAAAAAAGACCTCATATGATAAAAAGCAAATAAGTCTGTAATACTTTCTGAAGGAACAAAGATCTCAAGCTACTTGATCTAAATATGGGACACATTTAATGACAGATAGCTTAAATAATATATAAATGTGAACACAATGAAAAGAATACAACTGACCTTTGGAAAAAATTTCCCTGAAACTCAACCTTCATCATTGATTACAAATGGCTACAAGAGAACTACTGACCACCTCCCGAGTGATTATTTTTCATCTCTGTTGGTAACCTTGGAGTCTCTGTTTCTCCAGCACATATACCATGACCACTCAACACTGGCTTGGAGAAAAGAACCACTTTTCAGAAACAGCTTGGCACCTGAGGTGGGTGGAGGGAATATGCTGGAATAAGAGAAGGGAGCAGAAAGAAGCAGAAGGATAACATAGTGCTCCTCCAATGCTGGGTTCCAAGCAAACTTTTGCCAACCCATGTTTAGATTACATTCTTGACTACTAACTTCTTGAAGACAGAGCCAGAATTGATATTGTTGAGCCTTAGCTCTCTTTCTTTTCCCTTTCTTTCCTCCTTTCTTACTTCTTTCTTTTTTGCTGGTCCTGGGGCTTGAACTCAAGGACTAGGAACTGTCCCTGAGCTTTGGTGCTAAAGGATAGTGCTCTACTACTTAAGCTACAGTGCCACTTCCATCTTTTTTTCTGAGCAGTTTATTGGAGTCTCACGGACTTTACTGCCCAGACTGGAACCCACAATCCTCAGATCCCAGCAGATTCCCAGCACTGAAGTAACAAAATAAAACATCCTTACAGTTTCACATACCTTGAGGCGGTCTTATTCCACCTGAAACAGGAAACATGAAGCTGAAAACAGAAGTAAAAATACATGATGATCTTATGTACCAATATTTCAAACAAAACATGTTTGTTTTTTTATTTTCAGACTTTTTCATTCATAGGTGGTACTCTACTACTTAAACTACACCTCTAGCACAGATTTTTGCAGTTTAATTGGAGATGAAGGTTTTTGGACTTTTCTGGTGGGCTTCAACCGTTGATCCTCAAGATCTCAGCCTCCTGAAAAGCTAGGATTACTGGCATGAGCTACTGGTGCCTAGGATTTTTGTTTTGTTTTAAATCCATATTTACATGTATTAAAAGTTCAGTCCTTTTCATGACTAATACTGCATTGTATGGCCGGTCTTGAACTCAATGAACTTTCTGAACTCAAATGGTCTTCTGCCTCATGGATAGCTAAGGCTACACCTGTTAACTATATCAGAGTTTGTTGGGGTTTTTTGGTGGGGGAGCACTATGGGAATTTGAATTCTGGAGGCTCACACTTGCTAGTCAAAGGTTCTATCACTTAAGCCACTCCCCTAGACCTTTTTGCTTTTTAGGCTGTTTTTTTTTTGTTTCGTTTTGTTTTTTGTACAATCTCAGGCTTTTTCTCAGCTGGCCTTGGATTTTGATCCTATGCCTACAGGCTACCAAGGATTGAAGGCACTGTTATACCTGGCTTGTTTGTCACAGTTCCAACTAAGACAACTATGAAGACAACACTACATCTTAGAAATGTATACAGGCAACTCACAAAAATAGTCTATGGAGTGATAAAACCCTTACCAAACAAGCTTAAGTTCCTGAGTTCAATTCCTAGCATCATTTAAAAAACAACACAAACAAAACCAAAATTAAGTCACACTAAACATGACTTACTCTAGTTAAAACTTGGCAAGCCAACTGCCTACTGATTTATGTACCATTTGCATGCTCTATGAAATACTTAGTATCAACGTGCTTAAAGACTGGCTAGTCAGCAGCTAACTACAACACTGATAAGACAGCAAAAGTTCACAACAAATGGGCAGGAATAAAATGATTTGATCTCAAAGGTAAAAACATTAAAGGTAAAAGCACTAAAATCTCCATGTGAAAGCATACCTGTGAACTCTACTTGTGACATTATCTGCCTCTTCATCCTTCCTTTTCAGTTATCTTTGCTACTAACCTAGATTTTCTACTAGCCTTCACTTCTCAGGCCTGAATTCCTAAAGACACTAAGGCCTGAGAAATAACTTGTTCCATGACAGGACAGACATATATGTTTCTTGTACATGTCTCCTCCACTACCTACAGGCTATTGCCTGCATTGATAATTTTGTATGCCCTACAACTGATGTTATGTATATCCAAATAGCCTTAGGCAGGAAAAAAAAAGTTCTTCATCCCTATATGGATCTCTCTACCTTCAGACTCTGTGGTTTATAGTTCATCTAATACAAAAAGTGAGGTATATCTTCCTTAATAACGGTAAGGACAACTTAATAATCCCTTAGGAAGATGTAAACCTGGGATTTAATTGTAACATCAACTTCATGAGTTTAACCTCACAGGATTCTCTAGTTTGACACTATTTTCCTTTTCAATTTTATCTCATAAAACTCGTCTTTCCATGCGGTCCCAGTCAACCTGGCAGTGTAGGTACACTGTTTCCTAGACCTTCCTTCCCTCCTCTGTGCCAACCTTTTGCTTCTCTTTCTCCACTGAGTGGCCCAGCTGAAATATAACTTATTTCAATATAGGTGAAATCCAGATATTTAGACTTGTGTGTGTGTGTGGCATTTGAACTTAGGGCCTCATACTTGATAGGCAGGTGCTCTACCACTTGAGCCACATCTCCAGCCCTTTTTGCTTTGGGTTATTTTTTTCATATAAAATCTTTTTGCCTAGGCTGGGCTCAGACCAAGATCCTCCAACCTAAGCCTCCCATGTATCTGGGAGAGTCCCATATAGCAACATTACACATGGGCTGACCTCAAACTTGGATCCTCTTACTCTCCCTGTCCAGTAGCTGGGATTACAGGCATCATCCAAGACACCAGGCTCCAAATTTTTTTTTGGCAGTACTGGAGTTTGAACTCAGGGCCTTGAACTTGCTTACCACTTGAGCCATGTCCATCATGAGCTGGCCTGGAATGTAGTTTCCTGCATAACTTAGGATGACATGCTCATGCTACTGTATCAAGTTATGAGTTGAGAAGGTATCATACTAACTTTTCTGCTTGGTCTGAATTCAATCTGTAATATAAACTCACTTTCTGCACTTGAGGTTATTTCCACCAAAGTTTAACAATTGAAACTTGGGTGTAGAATACCAAATTGTTTCACGTTAATTATTATTATTGGTGCCACTATTAATCATATGTTTTATCAAATTAATGCCACTCAACAGTATTTTAGAAACTGTCACATTTTAAAAAATTGAGATTGTAAGTTTTTCCTCTCCAGCCAGACTTATTTATAAAGGTGTTTGTGAAAGATGCTACAAATAGTGCACAATGGAAGCAAGTCATTTTAGTTAAAGCAAATCATTTAAAGTTAAAGGTGTGTAGAGGAAATGAAAAATGGGCTAACAGGCCATTACCAGAGTGCTTACTTGTTCTTGCTCTCTCATTACACACACACACATACACACACAAACATACACACTTGCAAGAGGTAGTAACATGGAAGACCTCACACATATACAGTGTTCCTGACTCCAAAATTGAATTACATAGGAAAAAAGAAAACACTTAACACATTGTTTTCCAAAGATCATTTCAGATAGTGAAGATAGTGAATCTGACCTCCAAATGTATGAACAGTATGTTTAGCTAACAAATCACACTAGATCGTTATCAAAGTGGAGTTGAGGACTTGCTGGATGGGATACAACATTTCCTAAGATGATGATAACTTGCCCCATTGCATATGTACATTCCATTACCGTTTCGGGCATGAGAAGCACAGGCTGCTTGCTATTAACTGGTGTGTGTGTGTGTGTGTGTGTGTGTGTGTGTGTGTGTGTGCACATAACAAAGGACAGGGCTTTTTTGTTGTTGTTTTTAAGGACGAAGCAAAAGTCTGGAAGCCCTGTGCATAACTGCTGTTCAACAGCAAATTCTGTTCTGAATACCTTAAAAAAAAAAGAAAAGAAAAGAGGGACAAGTCTTTTAGAGTTAGGTCTAGAAGGCCAAGAGTTCTATCACAAGGCAATGACCAAGTCACAGGTAGTTTGGATTTCCCTTATGTTTGTCATATGTTAACACAAAAAGAGCAGGACCTGACACTGTAAAGGAGGCGAGGACAAAATAGCCGCCCCCCCCCGCCACACACACACACACACACGCACGCACACACACACACACACACGCACACGCACAGGTGTCTCGGTACCCCTGTGAACAGGCTCGGAGCCCCGGAGCCGGGAAGCTTGGGCGGCTCCAGAAGCAGAGGCCCGGCCCGGAGCCGCCTTCCCCGCCCCCTCCCCGGCCCGGCTCGCGGGGCCCTCCCCTCCGCCGCGGGCAGCAGGTGCCTCTGCGCCCCACACCCCGGCTCCGCGCGCCCGGACTCGTCGCCCCGCGTCCTGGGCCTCTCTCGCAACCCACTTCAAAGGACAAGGGTCTGAGAGGCTCAGCCCAAACCGCCATAACCGTCACACAGCCCCCCCGTGAAGCCGATGGGTCGCGGGGACGTCCTGAGGCCGGCCGGCCTCCGACCCCAGCTCTTCACACCCACCTGCCTCCTCCCGCGGCCCCCGCGCCGGTTCCTGAGGCCCCGCCGCCGCCAGCTCCCGTTCCCGGCCGCAGCGCCATCTTGCTCCCGGCCCGTCGCCGTCGCTGTGGCCGCCGCCGCCGCCGCCGCCTCAGTGCCAGTAGCTGTCAGCGGAAGACAGGCACTTCCGGAGCAAACGCCAGGCCCCACCTCGCCGCGGCCCGGGCGACGGGGCGGGGCGGCGCATCCACGTGACCCCCCGCCCTCGCGAGCGCCGCCGTCACGTGACCTCACACCGCAGGGGGGCCTCGGGTGGTCTCGACTCTCTAGGAAAGGCACGCCCTTGGGTGCAGTCGGGGGCCGCGAGGCCGGCGCCGTCGCCCTCCCTCGGCAGCCAGCGTCTCTCTCAGTGAAGAGAGTGGATTGGCTCCTCGTGTTTAGAGGATGGGCACGCAGGTGTTCTTGGTTACTCTTTACTAGAGAGCTCGGGTGTTTCTTTCATAGCTGCACAGCTCTACTTCTGTCACAGCTCTACTTCTGGACGCTGAATGCAATGAAAAACCTCTCAGGCGCACTAGTTCTGCCTGCGTGCCACTGGGGGAGCACCTTTGTTTTCCATTCTGGCAAGCAGGAGCAGTAGGATTTACTCTGAATCTATCTGGGCATTTTTGTTTGTTTTTCTCTCTGATCTCTTTTATGTGATTCCCCGCTACCCCCACCTAGCTGGAAGTATCCCATGAAGGCCAAGCGTTAAGTTTTTCAAGCCCTCAAGCCATGGATGATAATTAGCTTCTCAGCTTTGAAGAAAAAAGATTGCATTGATTGGTTATCAGGCACAAATCACTGGTCAGTAGTCTTCAGTGCAGTTAAAGATTTGATTATCTAATACTGACAACTCATAGATGAATAGAATCAATGTTATAAGATGTTAACAGAATTTGCCCAGATTAGGAAGCTACAAACAGGACCAATTCAGTTTGATTGCAAAACCCTATCTTGCTCTTTTCACGAGTACAATTCAATTATACATTCCTTTGTCTTTATTTACTAGTTTCACTCCTCCCCTTCCTCGGGCAAAGCTGAAATACTTGTACCAGACGATTTCCAGCTGACAAAGGAGTTTAAATTCGATATTAACCCATTGACAAACCTTTTAAACTTTTTTAAACCTTTTAAACAAATACTTTTAAACTACTAAACCTGTACTCCTCCCCCCACACTTCAAATTTTAACATTTGTTGGAGGAATATCTGTGGAACTTAGAAAATTCCCAATTTATTACCATCAATTACTTAGTGTTATTTTGATATGCCCATATCTGTATGCAGTGTATGAAGAAATATTTACTGTTTCAGGTACAGTGCTAGGTACTTCCAATCTTGAGACAATTCCATAAATGAAAAAAAATCAAGCTCTAAGGAATTGGAGAAGTTTTTCAGTCATGCAGCTAGCAAATGGGTTGAAACATTATACCAACTTCCTAAGTACTGAGTCAAGGATCTATTTGCAAATTAAAAAAAATTAGGACTAAATCCCCATGAAATATATTAAGATGAACAATATTGGTCCCATCTAAAAATTCAATACAGAATCTACCTGTGCTGATTCTAGAATGAAAAGCTGAGTAAAGGAAGTCTTATCTATATTATAGTTATTGTGGTAGTGGTGCTCATAATCATGTCACTGTAAGTTCCTCAATTGCCTGAACTTTTATTCCACTGTATGCAACTAGTAACCGAGTAGCCCACAGTGAAGTCTCACTCACCATATGGTTATAATCCTTTACTTTGGCAAAGACTTGCTTACTCAATGGATGAAAATGATCAAGACTTAGGAAAGGTAAGCTGGAAGAAAATGAAACCAGGTGTATCAAGTAACTGGACCATGCTTCCTTATCAGAAGAAACATTGTTATCAAAATTATCTTGAATGGAAAGAACATGGTTAAATGATGAAGAATGAAGTAAGAAGGGGAGATCTGGTCATCTCGCAGTTGCAACATTACAACAGCTAAATGTGAGCTATCTTATCAATGAGGTAATAAGGACATTTAAACAGACCAAATAATTTTAAATCCCAAGTAACTTGAATAACCAACCAGTCATGAAAGAGGCATTTCTTTATTGTGGTTTATACCATCAAGGACATTAACAAAGGAAGAAATATTAAAGAAAGCAGTAGGTTTCTTTTTTTGCTGATTCTGTGGCACTGTCCCTGAGTCTTTTTGTACTGAAAGCTAGCATTCTACCACTTGAGACACAGTGCCACTTCCAGCTTTTTCTGAGTGGTTTACTGGAGACAGAGTCTCATGGACTTTTCCACCTGGGCTGGCTTCAAACCACAATCCTATCTCAGCCTCCTCAGTAGCTAGGATTACAGGCATGAGCACCTGGCAGAGGAGTAGGTTTCTTCTTGGCAGACCCCACGTACTGCATCTTGTCCATTCCCCCACCCCTGTCCTACCAGAAAAAACTAGGACAGGAGGTAGAAATAGCCAATCTTTAGATTTTACTTTAATATCCGGTTCCAGATGCCTCTTTTCAGTATACCTCACACTTTCCTTCACACTGAAGGGAGAAATCCTTCAGTTCACCACATCTGGGTGTTATTTTTTAGCATTACAATTTTTATTCTTCTATAAGAAGCATCTCTATTCAAAGCACAGAAAAGGCAATGAATTTAATTTCATTGTATGATTTTTCACTCACAAGTTGAAACTTGACATGATGCACTTATCATTCACACACCCCTGCTTTTATTTGGGGGAATGTACTAGAATTTGAACTCAGGTCCTTGTAATTACTATTCTAGTGTCCCATGACTTGAGACATGCCTCTAGCCCTACTTTTTGTTGCTTATTTTTAGAGATGGTATATTGCAAACTTTTTCTGCTTAGGCAGGCCTGGTATCATGATCCTCCAGATGTCAGCCTCCTGAGTAGATAAGATTACAGGCATCAGATACCAGTGCCCAGCTTGAGATCACTTGCCAGTTTCTTGTGCTTGTAGTTGATTTCAAATGTTTGGCAGAAGTAATTAAAAGACATGAAGTAGTCCAAGAAAGCAACATTTATGTTGGGATCATAAAATTAATTTTTTTTTCCTCTTCTACTTTTGTGTGCCAGTCTTGGGGTTTGAACTCAGGGCCTTGGGCTTCTTTTTGCTCAAAGCTTGAGCCACAGTTCTGCTTCCCATTTTCTTTTTTTCTGTCTTTTTTTTTGTCAGCTGTGAGGCTTGAACTCAGGAGTGTTGTCCCTTGTGCTTTTATGCTCAAGGCTAGTGCTCAAACAGTTTGAACTATAGCACCACTTCTGGATTTCTGGTGGGTAACTGGAGAAAAGACTCTTATGGACTTTCTAGCTCAGGCTGGCTTTGAACTGCGATCTCAGCCTCCTGAGTAGCTAGGATTACAGGTATGCACCACCAGCACTGGTTTTCAAGTCTGTCTTTTAACTTTTGTTTTCAAGGGTTGCCTTCTTCTTACTTTTCTGGCCAGAGGCCTTTTTCCTATGGAAATAAAAATTGAATAGATATTTTATATCTTTCATATTATATATTATTTCATATTATATATCTTATTTCATAACTCTAGGGGTTAATAAACATTTATTGGAATCTACTGTATATTATAGCATAAGAGGCACTAGCAACACAAAGATGCATTAAACATGATCTCTGCCATTTAGAGACCCAGTCTCCTATAATACAATTAACTACACTACTATATAGTTTGGAAGATAGGCTCTGCTCCAATCCTAATAATACAAATTCACATTGATTTAGTGCGTATTAAGCATTAGATCAACTACACAATAGTAAGAAATGTCATACATGAACCTCAAAAGTATAATTCTAGAGCTTGGTGAATGATGAATGCCTAAACTAAGTGGGAAAAGGAAATGGAAATATTTTTGGGAAAATATTACATACTACATTATACTAACACAAAGTTCTTGGATGTATTAACATCCAATTCAACAACTAACCAAGCAATCAACCCTGAGCAGGAGAGTTTGCATTATTTAGATAAATGTTTTCATTAAATATAGAGGAAAGGAAGAGAGGGAAATTGACCCACCAAAATCCTCAGCAAAATATCAGAATCAGCTCGGTGACTCCAGATCCACAGTTCCCTCTACTATAACTGTAGTGCCTGAAATCGATCTCCTAGGTCTACCACAGTGAATCAACGTTGGGCCGAGGTATTAACTAGTGAGTTATCAGGCATGATCAGGCTCTTTCAATGAATATTCATAGAAGAGGTAAGCTAAAATCAGATCAGGATGGGTCTTGTTTGTGTGCTATATTAAGAAGTTTGGCCTTTAAATGTTAAGGAAATGGAAAGAAACCATCTTAAGTGGGTGGATGACTGGACAAGATTAATACCAGTGTCTTCATGCAAATAAAATTTTAAGAACCCCAGAAGTATAAATCCTAGAAATGTAAAAATATTTTAAAGGACAATTATTTAAAATACTGATGCATCTTATTAAAATCTGTACCAGTTACTGCTCAGTGTCTCAGAAGACTGCATTTGGAATCTTAAGTTTTGTTTTTTGGGTTTTTTTTTTTTGTTGGTCGTGGGGAATGAACTCTGGGCCTGGGCTCTGTCCCTCAGCTCTTCAGCTCAAGGCTAGTGCTCTACCACTTGAGCCACAGCACTACTTCAGGCTTTTTCTGCTTATGTGGTACTGAGGAATTGAACCCAGGGACTAATGTATGCAAGGCAAAGCACTCTACCACTGAGACACCTTCCCAGCCCCTCCCCTAAATCTTGAGTACACCAAAAAAGACAGTACTATACCCTGTCAATACTTGATCTGAATACTATTTACACAATCAATACTAAAATACCACTTAAGACTCCTGTGCTGGTAGCTCATGACTATAATTTTAGCTACTCAAGAGGCTGAGATCTGCAAAGTGAGGTTCAAAGCCAGACTAGAAAGTAAAAGCTAAGGGCTGGGAAGGTGGCTCAGTGGTAGAGCGTTTGCCTTGCATGCTTGAGGCCCTGGGTTCGATTCCTAAGCACCACATAAGCAAAAAGAAAAAAGCCGGAAGTGGTGCTGTGGCTCAAGTGGTAGAGCACTAGCCTTGAGCTGAAGAGCTGAGGGACAGCACCCAGGCCCAGAGTTCAGGCCCACGACTGGACCCAAAAAAAAAAGAAAGTAAAAGCTAAAAGTGGAGATGTGGCTACAACGGTAGAGCACCAGCTGTGAGTGAAACAGCCAAGCAAATCATGAGTTCAAGCCGTAGTTCTAGCACAAAAAAGGACTCTTGTTCAACTTACAAAGCACATAGTTTTCATGTCTTTGTTTACCTTATTTCTTTTTGTGTCAATACTAGGGCTTGAACTTAGGGCCTCAGGCTCTCTCTTAGGTTTTTCAATCACAGTTGGTGCTCCACCACTTGAACCATGCCTCCACTTCTAGCTTTTTGCTGGTTAACTGGAGGTAAGAGTCTCTTGGACTTGTCTGCCAAAGCTGGCTGAGATCCTCAAATCTCAGCCTCTGGAATAGTTAGGATTACAGGTATGAGCCACCCGTGCCACTTTGTTTCTATATTCCTATTTTGTTTTAAACCATTCTGATTTTTTAATGCATACTAACCTTTTTGGCTAACTTCAAGAAAGGTGTCTTATTTTATATTTATTTGTATATCCTATCAGCACCAAGTTCCTTGTTGGATAACTCAGTAAATACCTGCTGTTGGTTGCAACAGTTTTCTCTAGTGACTTTCACAAAACAGTTTTCATAGAAGTAGCATGCTAGGACACTAATGGCATGCTCACAGTACATGTACACATGTGCACACACACACAAAGTTATTAGGGACTTGGAACATGGCTCAGATAGCAAAGCATTTACTCAGCAAAACCCTGAGTTCAAGCTCTGGTCACACACACACACACCTTATTAGAATTAAGTAATTTTTTACACACACACACAGCTTATTAGAATTAAATAATTTTTTTTTTTTTGGCCAATCCTAGGTCTTGAACTCAGGGCCTGGACACTGTCCCTGAGCTTCTTTTGCTCAAGGCTAGCATTCTACCACTTGAATCACAGCGCCACTTCTGGCTTTTCCTGTTTATGTGGTACTGAGGAATGGAACCCAGGGCTTCATTCATGCTTGGCAAGCACTCTATCACTAATGCACATTTCCAGCCCAGAATTAAATAATTGTATTAGAGCATATATTAATTTAGTTTCATTTTTAAATAATGTAAAAGGTAGAATAATTCAGAATATTAGCAGATACACTACCAAACTTGTATCTTCTTAGCACCATTGGACAAAATATGCTAGATTTGTATGTATTGTCTAGGACTTATGCTTTAAAGACCTCCAGAAACTAGGCTCAGCTATTAAAATTTATCTAAATAGTATTTTTTAATACTTCAGCATAATCCTAAGATATAAAGCTTCAAGAAGACTAGATCAATGTGAGGCTTAATTATTGGTCTTAATTATTGGTTTCTGCAGCAAACTGTGTGAAGATAGTGGGCAATACTATTTTCATTCACAAAGAACTGAAACCTTATTTACAAGTATAGGAAAAAACTCAGATTAACATACATATAAAGAAAAAATTCCAAGATTAAATCATTCAAGCTCCCCAATTAAAGACCAACCTAAGATACTATTTTTATCACATTCTATTTAATGTGCTGTAGACAAGTTAATTCTACTTCTAAAATCTTATCCTAAGGAAAAACAATGCCTCATAACTACATAACAATCAAACAGCATATTTTCTTACCAGCTTACACTTACCGTTTAGCTTGCTCTAAGAAATATTTTGGAGTTGTACTAATACTCTCTCTTTCCAATGGTTTCTTAATCAATTTTTTCTTTTGTTTGCTGAAAGTTACAAAGTAAGAAAGGAAATAAAGCACAACTTCATTTAGAAAAGCTAACACCAATGAAACCAGTTTTGATTCTTGATCTCAAAATTCATCTTTTAACCGCTAGCACGTTTAAAGTGGGTTGTATCATGTTAATAAATCAAATTATCTATGATTATCTAATAGAACTCAGAACTATCCTAAACATAATAATTTCAACCAATCTTTTTCTTTCTGATTCTAGCTACATAACGCAGGCTAACTTGTTTCTTTTTTTTGGGGGGGGGGTCTGGTTGTGGGGCCTGAACTCTGGGCCTGGGCGTTGTCCCTCAGCTCTTCAGCTCAAGGCCAGTGCTCTACCACTGGAGTCACAGCGCCACTTAGGGCTTTTTTTTCTTTTTGCTTATGTGGTGCTGAGGAATCTAACCCAGGGCCTCATGCATGCAAGGCAAGCACTCTACCACTGAGCTACCTTCCCAGCCCACCCAGGCTAACTTGTAACTCATGATCCTCTGGTCTTAGCCTCTGGAGTGTTGATCAATCACTTTTCTTCTTCTTCTTCTTTTTTTTTTTTTAAAGGACATTGTGTTCTGTGGCAACCTTGTATCCAACATGCAATAGTCTCATTTTGTTCAATAAACTTTTTTTTTTTGCCAGTCCAAGGGCTTAAACTCTGGGCCTGGGCGCTGTCCCTGAGTTCCTTTTGCTCAAGGCTAACACTCTACCACTTGAGCCACAGCACCACTTCTGACTTTTCCTGTGATTGATTGGAGCTAAGAGTCTCAAGGACTTTACTGCCCCGACTGGCTTCAGACTGTGATCCTCAGCCTCCTGAGTAGCTAGAATTACAGGCATAAGTCACTGGTGCCTTGCAATGAACTTTTTTGAAACTAGTTTTATGAATTAAGTAGGGCTTTAATGACTGTGTCACCCCTATACACAGCAATATAGTTCACAATAGCTAAAATATGGAAGTAATCTTAAATATCCATCAACAGAGAGATAAATAAAAGGCAGTATATGCATAATGGAGTATATTCATCCTTAAAAAGGAAATTCTGGCTATAGTGCAACATGAATAAACCTTGAAGACATAACGCTAAATGAAATAAGCCAGCCACAAAAAAACACATACTGTATGATTCAAACTCATACCATAAGAGGCACTTAAAAGCTGCTGTGGCTGGGCCCTCAATAATGATAAACAGGAAAAAAGCTTGGCCACTTTGACTCCATTTTGTATGTGTTTCTCTGTTTACAATCACCTTGGAATCCAGGAAGGACAGGACTGATTGATAACATCCTTACAATCACCCCTAAGATACAATGCAGCCTCCTCAGGACAGACCACCCATTAGGCAATGACTTGCTAATTTTGATCAGTGATGACATGACAGTGGTAACAATTTCCCCTGTACCCCTCCCAAAACAAGGACTAAAATAATGACCAATCAGGTAAGATTCTGACCAAGACAATTTAACAATTACACACATCTTTCTCTCCTAGCCTCCAATTCCCTATTTAAGTGTATAGCTCATGTTTATACCCAGAAAAGAAATTAAATGAATTTTTGTGCTGCCTTCTCATGGTATACTCCTGCCATATAATAAAAATCTCCCTTCTCTCCCCTTCTCTGTATCTTATGTGGTGTGAGTGGGCTAGGTTTAACACAAGGAACCCATGGAGTTTGGGCCTGGGATCCCAAAGGTCCAGTTTCAATATAAGGTACTTAAGAGTAGTCAAAATCGGAGATAGAAAAAGGAATGGTAGTTGTCTGAACCTAGGGACAGGAGAAGTGGGGGAGTTATTGTTTAATAGACACAGTTGCAATTTTCTAGAAGGAAGAGTTCTGGAGAGGGATGATGGTAATAACATTATGAATGTATTGAATACCATTGGACTGTGCACAACAAAAAACTAAACAGCAGGCAAGAACGCATCAGGTTTGATACCATTTATAATCTTCAACCAGGGTAGTTCTTCTTATACTTTTCAACTTTACGATAATACAATAGTGATATATTTATTATAAGATAAACTTTGAGTTTTGATCTTTCCCCAGCCAGTAGTGTGTGTTACAATACTCTCTAACAATGCTGGGCAGAAGCAGTGAAGCAAAACTCTCAATACCCTCTATGTCATGAGAGTTAAACCATAATACTCTCTAGCACAATAGGTTGATAAGCTATCACATTTAGTAGGTAAGGGATATTACTTTTCACTTAAAATATTTTTTAACATATAGTGTGTTTATTAGTATATAACCCTGCTATAAGTCAAGAAACATCTGTATGTAAGATTGAAAACGTCCAAAACTAAACAATGTACCGTTCTGGCATACATATAATACATATATATATATATATATATATATATATATATATATATACTTATAAAAGGCAAGACAACAGAAAAAATAAAACAAAAGTAAGAATGTACATGTAAAGAAACAGAAAGAAAGAAGTTTTAGATAAATTCAAGATTATACCTTAGTAGTTTCTGGAAACCTTTTATGTATTCAGGTACTGGGCATCCTGCTTGTTGGATTACATTGGCAACACTGAAAAAGGAACACATAAACATAAATCTGTGTCTTGTCAAAATGAGGTTAAAAACAGTTTTGACTTGTCAAAACTATAAGATACTCTAGAATAGTGGTCTGATTATCATCAGACATTACAGTGCAGAACACGTTCAGATAGCAGCCATCTCAACATTAATCAAACCCTAGAAAGCTACTAAGCCCAATCTTGGAGGAAACACTATGAAGCCAGAGTCAAGCTTCAATTTATTAAGTAATAGTGCTTATTATGGGGTTGGCACTGTAGATTTTTCTTGTATAGTATCTTATTTACTCCTTACAACAACCCTATGTGGAAAATATTATCTCTATCGCCACTTCACAGATGGAAAAGTGAGGTGCACAGTTATACTTATATTGGGGTCACCAGTCACATTCTCAGGGTTAAGATCTTAGGTTGATGAATGCTGTATGAATACCACTTACATATGCACATGTGAAAGTCTGCTCAAAGTGATGAAAAGGCCAATCACTAGAGTGGAGGCTCAGAAGATTCAAAATGATGTATCAAAATATAGCTCCCTTTGGCCATAAATCGTTTGTTTTTTTAGAAGTGCTAAGTGCTACCAATTACCCTCAGCCAAAAATTAATGGAGGCAACCAAAATGCAGGAAAACTCTTTATATTAAAATCTGTATCCATGAAGCCAGGCGCTGGTGGCTCACGCCTGTAATCCTAGCTACTCAGGAGGCTGAGATCTGAGGATCGCAGTTCAAAGCCAACCCGGGCAGGAGAGACCGTGAGACTCCTATCTCCAATAAACCACCAGAAAACCGGAAGTGGTGCTGTAGCTCAAGTGGTACAGCGCTCGCCTTGAGCTGAAGAGCTGAGGAACAACACCCAAGCTCAGAGTTCAAGCCCCATGACGGACAAAAAAAAAAAAAAATCTGTATCCATGAGTGGTGGCATAAACCTAAAACCCCAGAAGAGGGAAGGTGGAGGTAGACTCAAAAAAAAAAAACCAGAAAAGAGGGACTGGGAAGGTGGCTCAGTGGTAGAGCGCTTGCATTGCATGCATGAGGCCCTGGGTTTGATTCCTCAGCACCACATAAGCAGAAAAAAGCCAGAAGTGGTGCTGTGGCTCAAGTGGTAGGGCACTAGCCTTGAGCTGAAGAGCTGAGGGACAGCGCCCAGGCCCAGAGTTCAGCCCCCACAACTGGGGAAAAAAAAAAAAAGCAGAAAAGAAAAACAGTCTTTGATGATGGTGCAAGCATGGTAGTTCATGACTGTAATCCTAGTACTCAGGAGACTAAGACAGAAAGATCAAGAGTTTGAGATCAGCCTGGATTACACAGCAAAACTATTGTTTCAGCAATCTCTCCTTCTCCACTGAGAAAAAAAATCTATGATGATAGGCTAAAAGGATGATAGCCTGAGATTCTACAAGTATATGTTACCTAAGAATCAAAGTGCTTTAGTATTTGTGTTACTATAAGTAGCAGGGGACCCTGGAACAAAATACAAAACTCTACATGGCTCTACAAGTAATGCAAAGGAAGCAACAATGGTGACTGGGCTGAAAAGACTTACAAACTATTCACTTAAAAACCTTAATTCTGGGGCTGGAAGGTGGCTCAGTGGTAGAGCGTTTGCCTTGTCATGCATGAGGCCCTGGGTTCGATTCCTCAGCACCACATAAGCAGAAAAAGCTGGCAGTGGCACTGCAGTTCAGCCTTGAGCTGAAGAGCTCAGGCTCATAGTTTAGGCCCCACAACCGAAACAAAAACAAAAACAAAAAACCACCTTAATTCCTGTAAGCAACATCAAATGATGGCTATTAGAAGAGTTCTGGGATTCTGAAACTTAAAAAAAAAAAAAATAATAATATCCCATTTGTATTATTTCCAAATTCTAATAATGAGAGGGGAAAATTAAGGCCCTCTGATCTTTTTTGTGGCTCAAATACTTTATTACCACTGTTAATAAAATCTGAGTGCTGGGAAGGTGGCTCAGTGGTAGAGCACTTGCCTTGCATACTCGAGGCCCTGGGTTCGATTCCTCAGCACCACATAAAGCAGAAAAAAAAAAGCCAGAAGTGGCACTGTGGCTCAAGTGGTAGAGTGCTAGCCTTGAGCTGAAGAGCTGAGGGGCAGTGCCCAGGCCCAGAGTTCGGGCCCCACGACTGGATCCCCCCCCCAAAAAAAATAAAATCTGAGATATACACATTTTGTAATTATTTTAATATACTAGACATATGAAAAAAAACGAAGCAATCTTGGTTGCTTCATTAGTAGGTTGTTTTTTGAGCACATCCTCAGCCCCTAATTTACCTTCTTAACAATGGTTTATCATCTTCTGTGAAAAATGTAACAGCTTTTCCCTTATGTCCTGCTCTTCCAGTTCGACCTAAAAAAATGAGACCATTAAAAAAAACAGTTCTGAGGAGAAAGAGACTCAAGATGCATATTAAAGATTCCCTGGATTATCACTAAAATGAGTAAGTCTGAAAAAATATTAGAAGCTATGTGTGTTTAAAGGGAACAGTAGAGGAACTGAGACAAGATGGGTGAGCAACAGAGAAAGGGAAAAAGGCAACTCACCTATCCTGTGGATATACTCTACTGAGCTGGTTGGAAAGTCATAATTGATCACCAAGTTCACACCTTTAAAATCAATCCCTCTTGCAAGCAAGGCTGTACAAATTAGAACCCAGATTTTTCCTGCTCTGAAGCTATGGACCGTGTTATCTCTCTAGGTAAGAAAACACAGAATAAATGCTTTAATACTATAGGAATGGAAAACAATGCTAACATTTTAAAATTAGTTGGTTTTTTATGCTTTCTAAACATAAAATGGACTGTACCTGTTGCTGTGTTCTTTCTGCATGAATAACATCCACATTAATACCTTCATATATGAGCTCATGAAAAAGTTCTTTAGCCCTTTCAATGGACTGAACAAAAACTAGAACAGGTGGATTGAAACCCTGAAAGAAGGCAAAAATTAGCATATGTAACTCATAAAGAAGATTGTCAATTAGTATTCATAATTGTTCTTCAGTTCATAAAATAAATAACGCAATTCAATCGAATATAATAATGGTCTAGATCTTCCTTCGTCCTCCTCTTATCCATTCTCCACATGGGTTCTTTCTATTCAACTTGAACTGTACTCTCCATCTTGCTAATTCCAATAAACTTACCTAAGCAATCTCTCTTAAGTCTTCCTACACAAGTGGCAGGGGACCCTCTCTATAACAATCATCTTTTGGCTTACCGCCCTAGAACTTTGATTCTGCTTACAATATAAAACCTGCGTCAGAGGCATTGTGGCTCATATTGTAGAGTGCCAGCTGTAAACAAGAAGGCAGAGCAAGAATGTGAAGCCCTGAATTAAAACTCTCTTTAACTCACCATTTATCAGAACTTTGTTATTTCCCACAACTTAGTCCTTGGGTCTATTTGTCAATACAATTTTATTTTATTGAGTTCAATAAAGTCTCAGGGCTTAGTAGCCTTTTCATTTTGGCTTATAGACCCCTTTTGAAATCTAATGAAAGCCATGTAGCTTTGTAACAGGTAATCACATTCGTTTGCACAAAATCGTACATATAATTTCATAGAGTTCACAGATTTCCCAAAGTTTATTCATGGTCAAGTTGCTATTGTAATATCTCGACATGAACATCTGTAAAAATGTTAAACATTTCCTAGTGATATATCATATTCTTAAGAAGAATATCAAAAAAATGAACACATATCATCTATTTTAAGTACAATGTTTATATTAATTCAAATACTACAACAGTTCTATGAAGTAGATATTATGTTACTTGATAAATGAGGAAACTGGAACAGAGAGAAGGTTAAATTGATCAAGGTAGAACAGTGGAGAGCTGGAATTTCAAGCCAAGTGGTTGGGTTCAAGAGTGCATGTTCCCAATTTCTACAAGCTCTAACTTCTACAGTCACCAAATATTTGCAAACTTTCTCTTCTAGTCTGAATTCTTTACTACTAAGGCTATCACTAATATTTGTGTTATCTCCTCAATTAAGACTAATTTAACATTTTTTTTATGCTCCTTAACTTGACTGACCCCCTCCCCATAAAGATGGAGGGGAGGGAAGAAAGAAAAGAGAAGGGAAGGGAAGAAAGGGGAAGAGGGAGGAGAGGAGGAAAAGGGAGAAATCAAGTGCACTTTTTATTCTGCAGTGTCCTGCTTCTTGTCTAACAAACCAACAAGGACAATACATACAAACACACACACACACACACACACACACACACACAGCTGGAAAGACGTAGCTTTGAGGCCTTTAGGTAGTTTTTTTTTAGTCTATTATAATTAAGCTAGGAGAAGAGATCGCTGGATAACTAAATATGATACACAAGGAGGAGGAAGATATGATGCGAAGTCCTCCCACTGTAATAAAAGCTTAGTGAACTTTATGATACACAAAGTCAAGATTATGTAGTCCAATATACCTTTTTCACAAGTTCTCTCATGGCCAGAAGTTTTCCAGTCTCAGAACCAACAAAAAGAAGCTCTTGTTCTACAGTCTCTACTGCAGAATTTCTGAGAAGAAAATATATTTTGTAAGAACCAATTTTTGCCTTTTCCCCGAACTCTAATAAAATAAATGAAAAAATTTATATAAAACAACAAAATTGCAATGCCCAGCATCTTTCCATTCAATCTGAAGGACTTTTCTGCCATGGACAGTCTAGAACTGTAACCTTCCCAATTCCAGCCTCCTATGAAGCTAGGATGACATACCACACCCAGCTATTGGTTGAGAAGAGGTCTTGCAAACATTTTTGCTTAAGCTGGCTTAGAACCATAATCCTCCTGATCTCAGTCTCCCAGGTAGTTAGGAGTACAGGCATAAGCCTGCACTAAACTTGTTTCTTACTGATTAGTGGACGTGCATTTATATACCAATAATTAGGGAAAAAGTATATTAAATTTTAGAATATTCTAACAATGTAATATACTATAGCAAGTGTTTTCTCATCCTATTGTCTGTCTTTGTATTTATGTTAGGCTTTCTTTTTAAACAAGTGAATATTAAGTTTAGAGTGCCCAGGGTGTTCCATTTTGCTTTTTCCCTCCTCCCTTTTTTTTTTTTTTTTGAGATAAGAGTCTCACTTTATTTCCCAGGCTAGTCTCAAAATCCTGGGTTTAAACAATTCTGCATCAGCCTCCAAAGTGCTGAGATTACAGATGCACACCACCATGTCTAGCATGTTTTCCTTTAATATGGTATTTTATATAGCTACTATCTTCCTACTCATTGTTTCATTGCTATCACAATACTCTATAGGGTCAAATACCATAAAGTTCTTGAACTTTTCTCCATTACTCCATATTCCTTATGTATTTTATTCATTTGTTTAGGCACTGGGATCAAACTCAAAGCCTCAAACATGCTAGGCATGAATCCATTCCCAGCACCTAACAAATTATTTTCATTAAAAAAAAGTTTTTGTGCGACTCCTGGGGCTTGAACTCAGGGCCTGTCCCTGAGTTTTTGTACTTAAGGCTAGCACTCTACCACTTGAGTCACAGCTCCACTTCTGGCTTGTTGATAGGTAATTGAAAATAAGAGTCTCACAGACTTTTCAACCCAGGCTGTCTTTGAACTATGATCCTCAGATTTCAGTCTTCTGAGTAGCTAGGATTAGAGGTGTGAGCCACCAGCACCTGGCCCAAAATATTTTTAAAGGGAATTAAAAACCAAGTGGCCCAGTAAGATCAGCTTTCTTTATGTGGGCCTACTTTATATAAACCACTGAAGACACTAAATCCTGAGTGGCCACAGAGCTCATTATACTTGTGAATGGGAAAAATCAAAAGCATGATGATGGAAATAATAACACAAAAAATATGAGACTCTCCCTTTTGGGTTACTCTAAAATAGAAATTCCTTCAACAATCTTTTTTTAAAAAATTCTATTAGTAAAACATTTTCCCTTGTTATTCTCATGCCAAACAACCAATCTCTGAGCCTAAGGAAAAAAAAAACAACAAAAAACACTTACAGTAAAAGCAATCAGTAAGAACAAGTAATTACCTTGCTCCAATGGATACAGTAATGACATTGTCCAGGTTGAGCTTGCACCACTGTTCAACATCATAGGCAAAAGTTGCACTGAACATAGCTCTTCTAATTTTGTGAGATGTGCAGGCCAGGAAAATGAAAGCCAACTGGTCTCTAAATCCAGTTTTACCATCTTCAAACAGTTTGTCTGATTCATCCACGACTAGCCACTCAACACTAAGAAATAAAACAATTTGTGGACAGTGAACTGAAAGATTAGCCTGGACACTTCACTCAACTGTGAAGACACATAAGGAAGTTAAGCTATGACCTTTGGTGCTCAGAAGAAGGGAATATGAAAAACAAACAACTACAAAAAAGATAAACATAATTTAATCACCTCTTATTAGTCTCAAAGATGAGGCTGCATTAGCAACAATGACCTTCACATAACTCTCATGAATTCCATCTCTTTTGCTGAGAGATGTGAAAGGTCTAGAATTATGCACTGATTTCAAAATGTTTAACTGTCTTCCAAACCAGTGTTTTCCTATGAGTTTAATGAAAACTTGTTCTCAGGATCCATGCTGTCTTAAATTAGCAGACAGCATGCTCTGAAGGGCAACATATAAGCAACTGAAAACAAAATGTAACTAACTGAAAAACGCACACATAAAAGCTACTGAAATATTACTGTACCTTGTTAGGTCTATTCCTGGTGGATCTTGTTTTAGTAAGTAGATTAACCGATTTGGAGTAGTCACAAGAATATCTATGGGAGAAACAAATGGTAGAAATGGAAAAAACAAGATTCATCATCCTTGAAAAAGGGTGTTTTGTTAACACAAAAGCTATTGCTAATTAGCAACTAATACACAAATATTTACCATTATAGAATAAACTAAACTCTTTCTTTCTCCCTCTCTTTTTATGTGCTGGCACTAGGGCTTATACTCAGAACTCCACAGCTTTTGCTAGGCCTGTTTGCTGATGGCTAGTGTTCTACCACTTGAACCATATTTCCAGCCTGACTTTTAGCTGGTCATTTTTGAGATAGAATCTTAACAGATTTTTTTTCCTCCTAGGCTTACTTAGAACCACAATTCTCAAAATCTCAGCCTTCTGAGTAGCTAGGACTACAAGTATGAGCCACCTGCTTCTGGTGCCTACTCTTATATTTGAGAAATCTTAACATGTAAGATACTACACTACATAATCCAACCATTGATTTTTAATTTCTTTGTTTGTGTGTGTGCTGGCCCTGGGGCTTGAACTCAGGGACTGAACACTGTCTCTGAGCTTTTATGATAACAGCCAGTGCTCTATCACTTAAGCCACAGATCCTCTTCCAGCTTTTTTGGTGCTTAATTGGATATGAGTCTCCTGGATTCTTGCTTAGGTTGGCTTTGAATCACAGTCCTCAGATCTCAGCCTCCTGAGTTGCAAGGATTACAGGCATGAGCTATCAGCACCTGCCTCTCATTTTTTTCAGGAAAATCCTTTCTTTAAGTGAAAGTTTACTCAAGAGGCTCAAGGTAAAAGACAGGTAAAAGCAAATTCTCTTGCTTCTGTAAGAGGAGAGATGCATTTCTCTTCTCTCTCTCTCTCACTCTCTTTTTTTTGGTGCTAGTATTAAGGCTTAAACTCTGGGTCAGGGCATCCCTAGCATTTTCACTCAAGGCTGGTGCCCTACCACTTGAGCTATTATAGTTCCACTTCCAACTTTTTACTGGTTAATTGAAGATAAAGAATCTTACAACTGAGTTTGAGTGAGCCTCTTTGTGCTAAAGGCAAACACTCTATCACCTGAGCCACAGCACCACTTTCAACTTTTTCTGAGTAGTTTATTGGAGATAAGAGTCTCTTGGACTTTGATGCCCTGGGTGGCTTCAATCTGTGATCCTCAGATCTTAGCCTCCTGCGTAGCTAGGAGGACTACAGGTGGAAGCCACCAGCGCCTTGCTATCTCTTTTTGTTTTTAAATAATGACTTATACTTGAACTACTCTTGTGCGCCAATTAGGATACTTAGAATTTCCAAATCCTTTACATGTTCTATTTCCCCAAGCATGAATTTCTTTTGTCGGTCATGGGGCTTGAACTCTGGGCTTGGGCACTGTCCCTGTGCTCTTCAGCTCAAGGTGAGCGCTCTACCGCTTGAGCCACAGCGCCACTTCTGGTTTTCTAGTGGTTTATTGGAGATAGGAGTCTCACGGAGTTTCCTGCCAGGGCTGGCTTTGAACCGCGATCCTCACATCTCAGCCTCCTGAGTAGCTAGGATTACAGGCATGAGACACCGGCGCCCAGCTCTAAGCATGAATTTCTTACCAAATTTCTTAGATGATTTGGGTCCAAATTTCTTGGCTGCCTCTGCTGTCTTGTGGATCATGTGTATCCTGAATCCTGTTCCCTCAGAGATTTTAATTAACTCTCGGTGAATCTAAAACAGACAATGATAAAGTTTGAGCTGCCTAGATACAAGGATAGGGTGGATAGCATCTTTTATATTATTCATAAATTTATTACCAATCCATGACTATCTCAAATCTGCAATAATTTGTAGATTCATATGGAATGTTAGTATTTTCAAATTTCAAAACCTAAAAAGACTTCAAATTTCTTCATGAATTTAGCACACTAGTTCCAAGAACCAAAACCAACCAGCTAAAACACTCCTTTAATATTGTACTAAGAAAAATAAGTTTCAGGGGCTAGGAAGGTGGCTCAATGGTAGAATGCTTGCCTCACATGCATGAGGCCCTGGATTCGATTCCTTAGCACCACATAAGCAGAAAAAGCTGTAAGTGGTGCTGAGGCTCAAGTGGTAGAGCGCTAGCCTTGAGCTGGAGAGCTGAGGGACAGGGCCCAGGCCCAGAGTTAAGTCCCCACGACTGACAAAAAAAAAGAAAAAAAAGTTTTAAAGAGAAATATGTAACAACAGCCTTTCAAGAATTTTATAGTGTTGGCCAAAGAAGTATAATTTAAAACCATGTTTTAGAAAATTATAGAATGATAAACTGGCCCATATCCAGTAATATACACAACACTTGGTACAGAATATTTGATCATGACAAAAAAGACATTCTTCTGAGATTTTTTTTATATTACCCTCAATAAGGAAGATTACTCAAGCAAATACTAAAGGCATTTTTCTCAAAAGCTATAAGTCATACCTGGCTGGCAAGTTCTCTTGTTGGGGATATAATCAGGGCTCTGAAGCCTTTATTTGTAGGTTGTTTCAGCTGCATTAAAATAGGAATACTAAATGCCAAAGTCTTTCCAGATCCTGTAGGAGCAGAAGCCAAAAGTTCCCGACCCTAAAAACACAGAATATAGAAAGTAAAATGAAAACTACAAATGAGGTACCATTGGCTCACATCTGTAATCTTTGCTGAAAACAGGAAGATACGATTAGAGACCAGTCTGGGCAGAGAAGTTCTCATGCCCTTTTCAACCCATAACTGGATGCAATGGTGCATGCCTTTCATTCCAACCTACACAGGTTCAGAGTGGGAGGATCATGGTACCAGGCCATCTCTGGCAGAAAAGTCAATGAGACTCCATCTCCATAGAAAGGAAGCTAGACTCGATGGCACAGGCCTATGATCCAAGTAATGAAGGAAAGCCTGGAAGTAGGTGGATCTTAGTTCATTGGGTATCCTAAGGATACCCAGTGAAAACAGGGCTGTAGGTGTGGCTTAACAATATTGCATCAACAAGCAATGAGGCCTTACGTTCAAACCTCTAGTCCTGGAAAAAAAAAAATGTGGCATTTTCAAAGCCAACTCAAGTAACGCTATCAGCCATACAAATGACAAATACATTAAACATGATAAATCCAGTTGTTCAAGTTCTCTCTGTTTTTCTAATTTCTCCCATATTTGTTTTTCTAACACCACTTTACCCTTGCCACCACTGCCCCAAGAGTTTCTGAGCACTGCTGCTCCATTTGAAAGGGCAAAGTGTGCATAGATAAAATCCAACAGGAATTATCCACACTATTTTCAATTCTCTCCTATTCAATTCTTACAAGTTTTATCCTGGTGTCTGTACTGCTAATCCCTAGAGAAGATTTTGTTAAGTAACAGAGTGACTGAGGGTTGGAAATAAAAAGTGATGATCCAAGTGATAGCAATTTATTTGTAGGTGATAATTTTTAAAAAGATGAGTATGTCTGTTAAAGATTTAATCTAAAGCAATGGCCAAAGTAATAGCTTTGGTGTTTGTTGGTGGTGGTCATGGGGTTTGAACTCTGGGCCTGGGCAATGTCCCTGAGCTCTTCAGCTCAAAGCAAGCACACTACCACTTGATACACCAGTGCTACTTTCAGTTTTCTGATGGTAATTGGAGGTAAGAGTCTCATGGATTTTCCTGCCTGGGCTGGCTTTGAACCATGATCCTCAGATCTCAACCTCCTGAGTAGCTAGGATTACAGGTGCAAGCACCAGCACCTGTTTCGTTTTTTTTTTTGGACAGTCTTATTATGTAGACTTGTAGTGATCCTCTTGCCTCTACTTCACAGGTACGTATCACCATGCCCAGCTAGAAGCAATCTTAAATAAAAATTAACTGTAAATTTACTAAGATGTGAGTCAAAAATATCACTTAAATGTATGAATGTATTCTCATTGCAGTTCTCACCTGAATTGAAGGCCACATCTTGGTTAAGAAAAATCCAACTTCCAAAAATTTAAGCTATTACATCTCTATCAATAGGTGGCTAGTTAAATAGTGATATAGCCATGTAACAGTATTATTCAGTAATAAACTACTGATATATGCAATAGGGATGAATTTGAAAAACATGTATGTAGAAGCCAGAAACAGACTGAATAATGAATTTATGTAATCTGAAAATTCTAGAAGAGGTTGAAAAAATACATGGCAATTGAAATGAGAACAGAACACCAAGCATGATTGCACATAACTGCAATGCAAACTACTGTGATGTACAGCTCAAGACAATCATGGTGGGGCTGGGAAGGTGGCTCAGTGGTAGAGCACTTGCCTTGCATGCATGAGGCCCTGGGTTCGATTCCTCAGCACCACATAAGCAAAAAGAAAAAAGCCAGAAGTGGCTCTGTGGCTCAAGTGGTAGAGTGCTAGCCTTGAGTTGAAGAGTTCAGGCCCCACGACCGGACCCCCCCCCCCAAAAAAAAAAGACAATCATGGTTCAAGACCAGCCCTGGCAAAAAGTTAGCAAGATCCCATCTCAACAAAATAAGCAAGTCATTGTGGTATGTGCCTATGATCCCAGCTACTTAGGAGGCCACATAGGATGATTGAGCTTGTCCTGGGCAAAAAATTTTGGGAAAAGATACTCTACCTGAAAAATAAAGCAAAAGAGGGTTGTAGTGTGGTTCTGTGTAGCAAGTGGAAGGCCCCCTTCAACCCTAATACTCCAACAATGACCAAAAAACAAAAACAAAAAAAAAAAGAGAAAGAACTGGAAGTCAGAGCAATAGTTGCCTCTGAGTAGGGGAGAAATATGGACTGACTAAAATGGAAAGAGCACAGTAGAATTTTCTGGGATGACAAAAATCTTCATTGGAGTGAATAGTGCTAACATAGCTTTATTGTTGAAACCCATTAAAACTGTGCTTAAAATCTGTACATTTTAGCCGGGAGCTAGTGCTGGTGGCTCACGCCTGTAATCCTGGCTACACAGGAGGCTGAGATCTGAGGATTGAGGTTCAAAGCCAGCCCAGGCAGGAAACTTCAGTAGACTCTTATCTCCAATAAACCACTAGAAAACTGGAAGCGGCGCTGTGGCTCAAGTGGTCTAGTGCTTGCCTTGAGCCTGAAGAGCGCAGGGACAGCACCCAAACCCAGAGTTCAAGCCCCATGACCAAAAATAAAAATAAAAAAATCTGTGCATTTTATTGTATGTTATGTGCATTTCAGTAATAAATACTGGTAAAGAAACTCAAGTTGGGCCAGGCACTGGTGGCTCACACATGTAATCCTAATTATTAAGGAAGCTGGGATCTTAGGACTATGGTTTGAAGCTAGCATGGGCAGGAAAGTGTGTGAGACTCTTATCTCCAATTAACCAGGAAAAAACCCTGGAAGTACAGCTGTGGCTCAAGTGATAGAACACTAGCCTTGGGTAAAAAAAAACCTCAGAGACAACACCGAGGCCTTGAGTTCAAGCCCCTGACCAGCATACAAAACAAGACTTAAGTTGGGCTCCATAAAAGAACTGTAAAAAAACACTTGTATTTCTGAAAAAGCCATTGGGATAAACTAAATCAACAATGAAAAAAGCCCCAACATAGCTGCATGCTCAGAGTTTCAATGCTGAAAAAAAGAAAAAGAAAAAGAAAAAAAAATCAACTGAAAACTAGAACTGGGGGTTGGGGAAAGAGTGTCAATATCAGAAAGAACATATCTACTGGTAGTGATCAAGACATGTTTTATGGGGGCACAATCATCAGAAATGGATCTTAAAAGCATGGGAAGGATTTAACAGGGAGGTGAGATGGAAAAGATTTCAAGAACAGAAGGAAGGGACTGCATACTCCATCCGATAAAGGCCTTCATACTCACATGCAGCATGACTGGAATAGCTTGCATTTGTATTGGTGTGGGCATTTGGAAGCCTGAGTCTAGAATGTTCTGAAGTAACCGAGAACTGATTTTATATTCTTGGTCAAGTTGCTGAAATGTAGTAATTGGGTCAGGAAGATCAGTTCCCTGGACATGAATTTTGTGTTTATTCCGGAAGAAGTTCACCTGAAAAGCAAAGCAACGGGGTCACTATGAGTATGGCCAAATAAACATGGTCTCACACTGTAAAGCACTAGCAGTGTCTCACAGAAGCTTCAGTGGCATATCAATTTTCAGTTAGATCTAAGCCCTCCCCCATTCAATACAGGTAATAAGTTCATGTTCTCTCCTAGACAGAAGACTTTATAACAATGAAACCTATCATGCTTTCTTTACATTAACCTGACACTGCCACAAATAATGTGTTATTCACTCTAATGTGTTACTGAGATAGTTAGAATTTATAACCTTATATAAATTCCTTCAAGGTCAGCACTGAGTCCATTTATTGTCTTTTTTCTTTCTTTTCTTGAGGGTGGGGTCAATACTAGAGTTTGAATATGCTTGCTACACAGGTTCTCTACCATTTGAGCCATAATTATAGACCTCTTGTATTTTTTTTAAGGTACCTCCCCCACATAGAGCCTCTTGTTACCTGTCCAATTGAAATCCTCCTACTTCCATCTCCCATGGAATTACAGGTGGGCACCACTATACTTGGGTTTGCTTTTGGCTAGGGTCTCACTAACTTTTGCTTGGGCTGACCTTGAACTGTGATCTTACTGTCTCCATTTCTCAAGTAGTTGGAATTATAGATGTGCACTACCATATCCAACTACTTTCTTTATAGGCTGCTTAGCCTACAAGTGCCAATACTTTTTAAAAAACACTATTGAAAACATCTATTTATAAAATCTAAGTACCAAAAATGGGAGTTTAGTGGTATTGATTTCATTGGCTTCTTCATTTTCTGGCCCAGAGACAGTCTGATTCTGGTTTCTGGGTTACTAAAGAATTCCACAGTAAGCTCTGTAGTAAGCTGCCCCCACCCCACCCCACCTACAGCAGCAACATAACAAGTCTACTGTAGACGAAACAGTGCCATTTGTTCTTTCTTCTACATCTTACTCCTTTCATTCCCAAGCTATAAAATACATTTAAGAATTCTAATACTGTAATCCCTGTCAGATGAAGTCCTTTTAAGTCAGTGACCTCAACATATAGAGGAAAAAGGAATCAAATTTTACATTTATCAAAAGGAGTTTAAAAATCTGAGCCAGGCATTTTAGCACACGTCTGTAAACCCAAATTAATCTTCTACATAACCAAACTATATTCACTTTAACAACAGAATTACTGAAGTCTAAGGAAAGGGTCACTAAAGCATATACTTCTGAGAACTAAATCAATTCTCTAACCTTTTCCTGTCGGAGATGTTCCAACTTTCCTGAAGTTAGTTTATTTTCTCCTTTAACTTTTTTATCTTCAATCTTTGCTTCCACAGATGATGTCCACTGTATAGTAGTGTCATCCTCTCCAGAAGTAATTTCTAGAATATATTTTCAAAATTAAAAGATTTTTAGTGTGACAGTTGTGGATGGAGTAAACAAGCAACACTGTCACATCAAAAGTAAGTACCAAGGAGGGACACAATGAGAGAAACTAAGGAAACAGATGACATTGTATAAAAGGAAATATACATATGTAAATGTGACCTCAATGCATATCACCTCTAAAACAACAATGAAGTAAATTTTTAAAAAAGTAAGTACTAGCTCATGAACCAGTTGAGGAGAAGCCAAGAGGATGCATCTACAGTGAAAGTTGGCAAGCTCACTCTTTTCTCTTCATTGGTTGTTTCACCTCCAAAATATACTTGAAAACAATGAATTAATTGAAAAGCTCCATAAAGCATAGTGGCCAGCTTCTTTACATCCAAAAAACCAGATAAAGAATAAATTAAGTGAAAGATTTCATTTTTAATAGCAATGTATACAACACAATATTCAAACTACTAAGTATTATAAAGACAGCAATTCTTCCTATATCTATGAATAATACTAGCTCAATTAAAAGTAGACAGAAAAAATGTTTAGGGGCTGGGAAGGTGGCTCAGTGGTAGAGTGCTTGCCTTGCATGCCTGAGGCCCTGGGTTTGATTCTTCAGCACCGCATAAGCAAAAGGAAAAAAGCTAGAAGTGGCACTGTGGCTCAAGTGGTAGAGCGCCAGCCTTGAGCTGAAGAGCTGAGGGGCAGCGCCCAGGCCCAGAGTTCAGGCCCCACGACGGGACCCAAAAAAAAAAAAAAAAGTAGACAGGATTGTCTTGGTGACTTTAATGTTTACATGGGACAAAAAACATGCAACAATAACCTAAAAATATTCTGAGAACAGTAAGAGTTCTATCGGAACTAACACTAGAAAGTCTCTTTCCAACTTTAATGAGACATAATTGACACTGATAAGTGACACTGATAAGGCACTCACCTAACATGAAGTTGCCGGGATTGAACCCAGCATTTCCCCTTACCTCTCCCAAATAAAAAAGATTACAAAAACATGGTATACCTCACTACTGCTGCAAGTTTTTTCTCATGTTTCTTTTAGATATAAGACCACAAAAATTAAAGCTAATATTGGCATACAAATACAGAAATAGACACTAATGGACTGGAACAGAGCCCAAAGATAACACCTTCTAAATACATGTGTGAAATAGATTTACAATAAAAGTCTTGTTTTCAGCCAAGTTTGGTGGTATATAACTGTAACCTACCATTCTGAAGGCCCAGGCAGGAGAATTGGTAATTTAGGGTCAGGCTGGGCTATAGTGTTTGTTTGTTTTTTCAGTTTTTGTTTTGTTTTGTGACAATATTGAGGCTCCAACTCAGGGCACTGTCCCTTAGCTTTTCATTCAACACTGGGGCTCTACCACTTGAGCCACATCTCCACTTTCAGCTTTTTGGGATTAATTGGAGATAATCTTAAAGACTACTCTACCTGGACTGGCTTTGAATCATGATCATTAGATCTCAGCCTCCTGTGTAACTAGGATTACAGGGTGAACCAGAGTTACTAGTACCTGGCAGGTTTTTGTTTTTATTTTTAAACAAAGTCTTGCTATGTAATCTAGGGTGGCTTGGAACTCCAGCTGTACTCACACATATACACAAAGTACAATGACATTTGTTGTAACATAATTGCAGAAGCATGAAAACAAATTAAATGCCTACCATGAAGGGACTTACAAAATCAATCCTTAAATCAACTGTGAGGTACATCAAATATAAGTTGTATTAAAAGGAACAAAGCAGTGTGTTTATTGTGAATCCAAAACAGTTTTAAAAAAGAAGAGAAGGCTCACAACCAAAAGTATAGAGAATATTCATGCTTATAGAGTATAAAAACATAAGTATGAGGGAGAAAAGTGATAGGGGTGACATTTATCAATATGTATCATACTTATAAACTGATTTGTTGTCTTGAAAACCCTTCGTACTACTTAAAAGATAATAAAAACAAAACATATGTAAACACACATATATGTTTTTGAACACAAGCAATAAATAAAATATTGCTAAAAAAGACAAGCAGTATTATGAGTAGTTGCTTATAAAGAAGACTAGAAATAAAGAGTAGAAATAAAATTTGTTATCATTACATGACCTAAGTATATACTATAAAACAAAGGCTAAGTAGAAAATTTCATAAAGTTACAGAGCTATAGACATGGCTCAGCAGTACATGGCCTGACAAGCAAATATAAGGAACTGAGTTCAAACTCTTGTACAAAAAAAGAAGAAAGGGCTGGGAAGGTGGCTTAGTGGTAGAGTGCTTGCCTTGCATGAGTGAGGCCCTAGGTTCAATTCCTCAGCACCACATAAACAGAAAAAGCTGGAAGTGGCGCTGTAGCTCAAATGGTAAAGCGCTAGCCTACCATTTGAAGAGCTGAGGGACGGTGTCCAGGCCCAGAGTTCAGATCCCATGACCGACAAAAAAAAAAAAGAAGAAGAAGAAAAAGGTTCAAGGACAGTGCCCAGGTCCTGAGTTCAAGTCCCAAGGCTGGCACAAAAAAAAAAAAAAAGAAACAGATAATATAAAGAAAAAGGTAAATGCTCCCATAATATATATAAAGAAAAAAAACTAACAGGCAAACTATAGGAACAGGTAAGCTGAAATGCAAATGTCCTGACTAGCATATAAAAGATGCTCAATTTCACCAGTTATCAAAAAATTTAAAAAAATTTAAAAATTTAAAAAATTTAAAAAAAATTTTAAAAAAGGAAGGAAGTGCCAATGTGGTTCAAGTGGTAGAGCACTAGCCCTGAACACAAAGAGGTTCAGGGACAGCGCCCAGCCCCTGAGTTCAAGCCCTGAAACCAACAACAACAACAGAAAAAGATTATAGCCAGGCTCACAATAATTCTGATTACTCAGAAGGCTGAGATCTGAGGATCATGGTTCATAGCCATCCCAGGCAGGCAAGTCTGTGAGACTCTTATGACCAACTAATCACAGAAAAAGGCAGAAGTGGCACTGTGGCTCAAGTGGTACAGTCCTAGCTTTGAGCAAAAGGAGCTCAGGGACAGCATCCAGGCCCAGAGTTCAAGCCCCAGGACTGGCAAAAAAAAAAAAAAAAACCCAAACAACAACAAAACACAACCATAAGTTTTATATTTTTGTATTTTTTGGGGGGTCGGTCATGGGGCCTGAGCTCTGGGCCTGGGCACTATCCCTCAGCTCTTCAGCTCAAGGCTAGCACTCTACCACTTGAGCTACAGTGCCACTTCCAGCTTTTTTCTGCTTACATGGTGCTGAAGAATCGAACCCAGGGCCTCATGCATGCAATGCAAGCACTCTACCACTGAGCCACCTTCCCAGCCCACAACCATAAGTTTTATGTAAGACTGGAAAAAAATGAAAGACCAATGATATTTAGCGTTGACAGAAGTGTAGTAACCTCTTTGGTCTTCTGCGGTGTTTCCATTTAAGGACACCATGCTACAGAAGAAGTTAACAGCATCTGTACAAATGGACACATGTACATGTATCCATCATGGCAACAACATTTGTAATAGTAAGCCTCTGGAAAAAATCTGAAAATGCCACCTACTGAGAACTGTGTATTTTCTGACGTCTAAGCTTGTATTATTCTTACAATTGAAAGAATACAACTAAATCAAATAAAAAATACTGAACTCCAACACTAACCTGAAATCTTCTTTCTCTTTTTTTTACTGGGCTCCCTTTTCCTTTCAATTAGATTTTCTTTTTTTCTCTCTTCATTTTGAAGCTCCTGGTGTGTTTGTGATGCTTCACAGTCACCTGGGATAGGCTTCTTGTTCCCAAAGAAGTCCAGAAGCACCTCTGAAGAATCCAAATCAAATTTCCTTTTTCCCACCTAAAACCCCAAAAATATTAAAAGGAATCCATGTATGTAATATTGCCTCCATCCAAGCAGGACTGGTCCAATGACTTTCCTCTTTTTAATTCTTTCACCAAACATTATAGAGCTAAACAAGGGTATTTGGGCAAATTAAATTTAAAAAGGACAGTTTTTCTGATCTCATACTTCTAAATACATATTTAAATGTAAGTAGTAGTAGTATTACAGATGAAAAAAACCAAAGCATTGAGAGGTTAATTTGACTAAGGTCTCAAAATTAAAATTTTCCCACAATTAAGCTAGAAATGGTGTGATAGGCCTGTCACTTCAGCTACTGGGGTCTGAAGCTGGCTACAATAATAAAAAAAAAAAAAGTGTATGTGTGGCTCAAAGTGGTAGAGCGTCCGCTTAACAAGCTCAAAGTTCTGAATTCAAACAGCAGTAAAATAAAGATTTTCCCCAAGTGAGCCCCATCCCTCTCAACACTTCCCTATTACACAATTCACCGTTTCTAAATCGCAATTCTCATCGGTTACTTTACGCATGCTGGAGGAATAAAAAGAACCTTGTCCATGTAGGACAGCCATCTGCACACCAAATCATACCTGGTGAGACTCAAGTGGGAAGAATAAAAGTCTGTTTCTGAATTCTCTTTCTACCGATCTAGAAGTGCCTAGGAAAGAATTCTCACAGTGCTGTGAAGTGGAATAGGAGGGGCGTGCAGCTTCCATGCTGGGCTCAACTAAATCCCCCAAGAAGCCTGGAAAGGGTCGCTCGGGGGTCTCGAACCCCCCTGGGCCTGAGGCACGCTGCGTCCCGAAGGAGGAAATAGGCCCCCAGCGTGGCCCGAGTTGGACCGCGGGGGTCTCCAGGGGCGCGGACTCCTGCTCCTTTTTAAATTGCTTGGGCCTCGAACCTCGAGCCTCTGCGCACGGTACCTGGAATCGAGCTGCGTCTGCCGAGAAGCGTTTCACGTCGAATCTGGCCCCGGCGCCCAGACGGCGGAAAAGATCGTGGGCATCCATCTTTACCCAGAAAGCCCTGCGGCATGGAGGCGACTGCGCAGATGACGTCTCTCTTCCCAGCGGACTTCCGCCCGGCCCTACTGAGGGCGGAAGTAGCTCCAAGAGGCGGAGCCTAGCACCATCCTGAGAGGTGTGGTCCGTCATTGTTACAGCCCTGGATCCTGTTAGTGGACCGATGTCATTGTCTTCGTAGGCCAGGAACTTTCCTTCGCTTCAGGGGCAGTTTGGTGCACATCACTAGGATTCCTCTCCTGAGGGGGCTTACATTTTTAGCAGGGTCAGATGACATTTAGCAAATTAACCAGATGAAAGTTCTAGGAAGTGAACAGAAAGGTGTATGGATGGAAGGAAGCCAGGGTCTGCTTTCATCTAGGGTAGGCAAGCTCACTCAGAAGCAATCATATCTGAGTCGAGAAGAGGCATCTTTCTCAAGATCTGGGAGCAGCATTCCAGACAAAGGAAACACCTGCCTGAAGAAGGGAAAAGATTACGAACACGAGAGGGATAAATAGAAAGTCGTGTGTGTGTGTGTGTGTGTGTGTGTGTGTGTGTGTGTGTGTGTGTGTGTGTGTGTTTGGGTCTCCACCAAAAATAAAACACAGAGAGGAGAGCAACTCAGGGTGACTAGTGCTTTCTCTTCTTTTTTCATTTTGGAATGATACTATGTACATATATATTACACATTATTACCTATTTATTACATATACATATATTGTACATGATCACATATATAAATATAGAATATATTATGTTATATTATATTGATTTTAATAGTGTAGTTACAACAACAAAAATATCTCAAACATAGTGCTTAGTAAGACTATATCCTTTCCTTCTTCTCTCCTCTTGGAATGGTAGTTCTATACCCCACCATTAAACTAAAAAATAAAAACAAAAGTAAAAAAGTCTGGATATGGGATGGGAAGGTGGCTCAGTGATAGAGCACTTGCTTTGCATGCTCGAGGCCCTGGGTTCGATTCCTCAGCACCACATAAGAAAAAAGCCGGAAGTGGTGCTGTGGCTCAAGTGGTAAAGCGCTAGCCTTAAGCTGAAGAGCTGAGGGACAGTGCCCAGGCCAAGAGTTCAGGCCCCACTACCAGACCCCCCCCCAAAAAAGTCTGGATATTACCCACCCCCGCCCCAAAATTCTGGTCTTATTTTTCTAGAATGGATCTCTGACCTATCATTTTGGGAAGCTTCTTAAGTTTGTTTTTTAAATAGTAATTAGGGTTAAGAATTAGTGCTAGAAGCTAGGTATAGGAGGCTCACATCTGTAATCCTAGCTACTTAGGAGGTTGAAATAGTCAATTACAGTTTGAAGTCAGCAGAGGGAGGGACGTCTATAAGACTCATCCCAATTAGCCACCAAAAAACCTGTAATGGAGCTGTGGCTTAAGTGGTAGAGCACTAACCTTGAGCACAAAAGCTCAGAGACAGAACCCAGACCCTGAGTTCATACTCCAGGACCAGCACACACACCATATTTGAGCTAGAATCATACTTCTGAAGCTAAAATGGGACCCTGTTGCTTCTCTGCTTAAAACTCTTGATTCTCCAATTATGTATTGAATGTGGTCTGAGTTCTTATAACATATCTCATGCCCTAAGGAACCTTTTTCCTGCTTCCTCACTCAAGACATAAGAAGCTTTGATAATTTCAGCAGGCATTCAGCCCTCAGCACAACGTTGGCCAGTTACTTATCCTTGCCAAGCTTCTGGTTTCTGTCATTGCTTTGCTGCTTCTATTCTAAATCTTCTAACATATTTTTTCCTTTCTTCTTGGAATGTCTTCTTTCCTTTTTCTCCCTGGAAATCTCTTTGTATTCTTTAAAATTCTTAACATTTCCTGTCCTCTAAAACTTAGATTGAATGTCCCTAGTTTGATATGGGCCATCTTCTTTGAGTTCTCATGCAACTTTGTAAACAACTCTACTTTAGGTAAGTAAAAATTGCAGCCAACTGCTTCTTTCCTGTAAGATGCTGATACTTACAAAGTTAAATTGTTTTTGTGTTTATGTGTGGTGCTAGGAATCAAACTCGGGATCTTTTACAACTATGCAAGCATTCTACAACTGATCTATACCTCCAGCCCTTTAGCTCTTTTCTTAATGCAGTGCCATAAAAATTTGTTCACAGATTTGGAACTCGTTGAGGGCAAGAGTGATGTTTCATTTATGGTTGTATTATGTTTGCTTAGCATGATAAGTAGCTCATGGTAAGTAGTCCATAAATCTTACCAAATTAATGAAGTGAAATAAAATAGACAAAGATCTCTAAACCACCAACTTTATGAATTTAGGAATGGGTCTTTGGCTTAGTGCTTTGTAACCAACTTTGACTGTTTGAAGTCAAATGGAAACTATCTGACTTATACCATTGCCTGCCTTGACAATGTCCAGGTGACTCATTAAGAGATTATTTCCTCTTTGGGGAAAACAAAACAAAACTATTTAAAAGCAGCATCAATAAAAGTGGCAAGGAAATTGAGTCACAATTTTGTATAACTGGAATTTCTCCAAAAACTAGTATGGTCTGATTGGCAGATACACATGACCTCCCAAGTGTGTCAAGTGAGAACACAAAGTCTGTACAACAACACTGCAATGGCAGCGAGTTAGGATAGCTCCTTGTTATGAACAGAGCAATTGCTCCATGTCCTAAATATGTGTTTTGGTTAACATTTCCTCTTCCATTCCTTGCTCATCATTCAACAAACTTCAGCGATAGTAGTGTTATTTTTGTAGAGTATCTGTCTTCGACCTAAGGATGAGAGATGAATTAGGCAGAATTCTCAAGTAGCTTAGAGGCTGCTAGAGGTAAAGAGCTTTTTTCAAAAGCAGCAAGAAAATTCTCTAGATACCGTGTTGTTATTACGGTGACTGTAACTTATAAGTACATTATTACTCTGTGCTGGTAGGGTGACATGGGGGTTGTGGAAAGTTAGGAAAAGCTTTCTAGAGAAGACAGAGTTAAACCTAAAATCTTAACTGATAGTGTAAAGGTATTTAAACAGAGAGAACAACATCAATAAGTACAAGGAGCCTTAAAAACAACTTCGCAGCCAGGTGCCCGCATCTCATTTCTGTAATCTTAGCTAATCAGGAGGCAGTGATCTGAGAATCACAGTTCAAAGCCAGCCCAAGTAGGGAAGTCCAAGAGACCCTTATCTCCAATTAAAGCTGGAAGTGGATCTGTGGTTCCAGTGCTAGAGCACCAGCCTTGTGTGAAAAAATTAAGGGACAGTGTCCATGACCTCAGTTCAAGCCTGAGTACTGGCACGCATGCACGCGCACATGCATGCACACACACACACACACACACACACACACACACACACACACACAAATCTAAGCTGAGGAGAAGATGATGGACTATGGATAACAAACTCAGCATCCATTTACACAGTGAGGCAAAAGCAAAAGCAACAACAACAACAACAAAAAAAAAAACCTTTGCTTCCCCCTGGGGGCTAAGATTCTTAAGATGTATCTCTTAAGTAGTCTAGTGCTTTCAAAACTAAAAATCCAGATCAAGTGTTTAAGGAATCCAGATTATTATACTCTTCATACTTTTTTATTTTTTTCTTTCACCAATCAACAGAGTATGCTTTACAGGTTCTACCAAATATAAAACGCAATGTAAACGAAGGTGACTGCTCAAATATGCTTGTGACAAAGGTGGGATTCAATGAAATACTGTCAGCACCCAAGCTGACCTCATGGTGGCACTCCAGAATAAGGCATTCCAGAATAAAGGCTCTGGAATCACCTAATTAAAGGACAGTCCACATTGCAGTGAAGAGCTGATGTCATCGCTGGGTTCGTAGACCCCATAGTTTAATTTCCCAGAGAGAAATAAGAGAGGAGGATCATCTGCTTTTCTGGTTTTAAAATGGCTTTGGCCCGATTTTAAAATCAGCTGGGTCAACAAGATAGGTATAGAAGATGGCAGAATGTCTCCATCCAAAAATGAAATATCATCAGGCTTTAAAACTAACCTCTTAATTATTATTAATTAATAGTAACCACTTATTGAATTCTTCCCATGTACTACATAAAGTTCTAGTTAGTCTTCAGAGTTTCAGATTATGTGAGCTCATCCAACTGTCATAACAGCTGTGTGTGGGCACACATTTGTGTCCTAGGGATTAATCTAGGTAATGCTAGGTAAGTGATTAACCACTGATTCATATCTCATATCTCCCAACACTTTTTTCCATTCGTTCATTTTTGTTTTCTGGAGATGAGGTCTTACTATATAAGCCAGGCTGGTCTCAATTCTGAGATCCTCAGGCCTCCCCCAAGTGCTGGAATTAATGATGTGTATGCTATACCTAGTAACAGATTATTTTTCTGAAGAGGAAACTAAGACTCTAATTTGTAAAGTAGCTTGACTCTCCCATCTTCTAGGTGGTAGGTACCATGCTGAATATTAATTTTAGAGCTTGACTTCACAGCCTAAGCCCTTGGGAACAAGGGCTTGGGAACAAGGCTGGGTTGCCTTGTGGCAAAGATAAAAGCAAGAATTCATGAAGTTTGGTTTTCTTCAGATATAGACTGTTTGGCATATGCTGGTTTAAATAATACCATACAGTTCTAATAAGACCCCTATTGTATCTGAGACCTCTTCAGAAAACTCTTCATCACAAATGAGAAATAGGATATTTACATAGTCACAAAGAATGTCCCATAAGATATTGATTTATTACAAAGAGAAAAAACAGCAGACTTTCCTGGAGAAAGTTAGCAGGCACCATATGAAGGAAACAAACAAATATCAAATGATAAGGCAAATGTGCTATCTGTTCTATAGAGAAGTTTTTTTGGCTTTTGCTGTAGAGAATACAAAGATACCAGGAAGATTTTTTTTTACATATATTACTGGTCAGCAATTGAATTGAGGATGAATTCCTATCTTTGATATCCCACCATAAAGGCTTACATCTCACAGAAATTTACTAATGAAACATATACTTTTCTATAAGGGAAGTTACAAAGGAC